TCTCACCAAATCAAAAAGTCGAAAAAGCACAAGATATTCGCCTCGCACTGGAGTCACTCCATGAAAAACGAGTAGAGTGATCCAGCGCGTTAGAAGGAGATCTGCGTTGTCTGGTGGGAACAAGGAAGTGTTGAGGTTACGTATTTGGCAGGCATTCCACGCTTCAAACTGATCGTTATTCCGACACATGAGGCAGACTGTTTTCAATTCTTCGATAGAGCAGGAGTTGCTCGATGACTGCCGGCTGACGCAGTAGGACGTCGCAGTTATGTATATCGAGGATTTCACCATCCTGTTCGGTGCACTGCCCCGACGCCCTGCTGGTCTGGCACTGTGTTCCGCAGCTGCGCGCATCTGCGACGGCTCCAGATGCATTTCTTGCATGCATTCATCTTACTCCTTAGATGCTCACACAGCGGCGGTTTTTCTCAAGGTCAACGATGGACGAAGCGATAAGCACTACGGCACGCATGGATATCGTTTGTAAAGCATTACGCCTATCATTCATTCTAGCTTCGATTCGTGCAGACGTTTTGCGCAATATGAATGGCGTAGCGTTAGGGGGCCAGGATGAGTTCAGTACAACGGAAAGGGTATGCCTGTCTGCTGGTGGCCTAGGATGCGCCCGTCAGCCGATGAATATGCTCTTGTATTTCTGAAATGTCAGCACCTCATACGAAAACACTCTCAACCCTAGGGTTTTGCAGAGCCTTTGGATTTAGAGGAAAATCTGGGAGAATATGTCAATGGATACCGTAGTGCTTTCGACCTGATTCAGAGGCTGTGGTAGCATTTGTCCTGTTGTGCACAACCCAGAAAATATGCTCACATCATCCCACGGTTGTGTTCAGTGACAGAAGTGGGGCTTGCTTGATTGTCCACTCTTCATTGTTGCGAGCTCCACAACTTTTCAATAATCGTATTTATTGCCAAGTAACCGAAGGCACGTTCTGGCGTGAATTCATTCTAAGTCTTAAAACCAACCATGGAATGACATTCCGAACGGCAGAGGAGGCTGACCAAACTGAATATACCAGCAGTACGCCTGTGAAACATCTGCAACTATACCCGGCAGAAATAGTCAAAAATGTTCGATTTCCTTCGCTCGTGTGAAATTGGTTTGTAATGCAGCAATGCACCCTTCGACTCGTTGCTCTTCAGTTTCCCTAGTGTACACTTAGGACTTTTGCCTTGCTTGACGCTGGAGCTTGTTTTTGGAAGACGGCCCAGTGCGTCGGCAGCGGTTGACTCTCATAGATAGCCTGCGGCAGCTCAGGAAGGAATGAAGAATGCACAAGTACACTAATCACAAAGCGACAACAAGCAAAGTTGCGGTTGTTTCCAACCCAGGCAACTTGGTCCTAGCGGATCCTCACAGTCAGCCAAGCACACAAGAGAACCACCAGATGAGGACGTTCACTGTGCATTAGTTAGGCCCTTTGCTGTTTGTCGTCGGGTCAGCGCTTTCACTTGCATTATAGATTTACTCTCAACGTAAAGACGTCACCAAACCGTTGCCGCGAGTTTTTGTAAAATTGTTCAGGGAATCACCGAAAATCTCTCGAGCTCTCCCTGGAATGCAAAGAGCAACTAGGGGGGTCTTCGTTCTTGGGCGCATGTGCAACGAAAGACAGAAGTCACAGAAATATTGTATATTAGGTTACCTGGCCAGGACACAAAATTCTAGTGGGTTTCTGAAAATAGGTCGTGCAAAGCAATTCCTCAAGAATGCGCACAAAAACTCTTTGGCTCAGCAGCCTGCTCAACACGTACAAGAACTGTAATCTCCCCAGCCACAGTTTCGCGGCCTGGCGCGTAGCGTTGACTACTCGTGAAGGTGCTTCACCTGACAAACATAGGTTTCTGGGGAAACTTCTGAAGGTCCTTGGTGGCTTGGCTGTCCACCTTACCCCCTGTTGACTAATGGAGATTGCTCAGAACATGTTTCCTGTCGGAGAGGAGACCAGCCGCTGGGCAGCTCGTTGCATGGGAACAAGCGTAGTATCCACATACTATCCAGCAAAAACTGTTAACCAGCAAAACCAATCAACGCAAAGTGCCTCCTCCCCTGTCGACCGTACAAACATGTGGGTACCGTAATGCAGCGCACTCGTCTGGAGTTGCACTTTCGTTTTCACAGTGTACACGGGCAGCCACAGTTGTAGTAAGCTGCTTGGTCCTCGACGCGGCACAACACAGGTGACTCTACTTAAGAAAAGATGACGCTTTCCCGAAGCATATTCGGAGTGTAGAAGCTATTCGGCATTCCCTTTGACGTAGGTTCTTCCGCAGGGCGGCAAAAGGACAGGTTATGAATTACATTCCCAAGAAAACTTAACGGTAGCTGTTGACGGAGGGTTGCATCAAGGAGCATCAGTCCTTCATGAACAGGATTCTAATGACAGACTTAGAGAGCTTCTGCATCCATATTTCACGCATACCGGAGATAAGCAAAGTCTAGCCAAGGTCTTCATTTCGCTCTAGGGAGCGTCGCGAGCTACGTATGCTCAGGGTGTTGACTTATCCAACAGTAACTGACACCCATTCCAGTCTTCACGCGCCCTTGGCAAAGCGGCACACAGGCATGAGGATGGTGCGGAAAAGAGGCCGCTTCTCACTAGTTGCAGCCCGCCTTGCTGCAATCTTGCTGCAAGGCAACCCCACATGAAAAGATACCCAAGCCTCCCTTCCATGCGTGCGCTAGCAGTGTAGACAACTGTTAACAACTGACTTGGTATTCGCTCTTCAGCCTGTGAGCAGGCAGAAATACCTGTATTAACCTCCTGCAGACCAGGCGCTAACCAGTGTCCGCGTACACAGTTGAGCAGCATTACGAAGCGGCGGAGGGATGCGTTGGCAAATGAGGGATGCAACGGAACTATCTGTCGTTCGAATCTAAAGCTTATGATAATTGGTGCACGCTTTATAATCTTCTATTCCACTCCTGGGACGCTGGCACCCGAAATCTAGCGTTGTTGTAAACAGATACAGGCAGTAGCGGGCGTCTGCTGCATGCAGTGCGGGCAAAATGGCGAGGTGAAACGGAGAGGAAAATGACTTGTCTCCTTCCTAAGATCAGCGTTATTCATTTCTGAGACGTTGGTAGTTTGAATAACCGAACGCTGATTTCAATCTTCTTCCAGGCAGCCACCTGCGAGTAATCGCTTCGCCGGATCAAGCATGTGGAATACAACGACTCCCACAAAACCTTGCATTATTCCTTGGGCCGCTGGAAGCGCACATGTCTTTCTAGATACGCGCTGTCCTGGGTTGATAATTTTGCCCCGTAATCTGCACTCTTGCTTCTAACTGTAGATATCCCTGTGCAGCCCGTGACAGCACTTCCATATCATCACATGTTCTGGCTGGGCCCATTCTTTGAGGCCGGACTGAACCCTGCCCACGAGCACACCGATGCTGCACACTGCCATTGAAATGCCCGCACCAAAAAGTGGCACCCGAACAAACCGAACTGCACAGAGGGCCAATAGTGAACAGTGACCTGCCACTGAGAGAGTCCGCAGCAGCGGGTTGCTGTCGGTACCTCTTCGATTTTTCTTTTCGGGGTGAGCACGCACACATAGGCGTGCCTTGCTTTAAGAAAAAGGTGGGTTGCAGGCAACACTGTTCCTGGTCACAGGCGGTTTGTGGAGGTCAACGTGTTTTAATAAGCATCTGCATTACTGATGCATGTTCCAAAGGGAGCCTTCGCAGTGCTTGCACTTGGGGCTGCCTTACAGCAGAAGCTGCAGTCATTTGCGTCGCAGCTCATCGCAGGCCGCCTCCTCTCCACAGTAGCCTCAGGCCCCTTTGCCGCCCTGCGCAGGACGACTACGGACTCCCGGGGCGAGAAGGTGTTTCACGGGAACTTTTGTCTTAAGTTGTTGATCCTATGGCTGCTCCCAGGGCTCCTTTGTGATGATCGAGCGCCACCCCAGCCCGCTGTATACACTAACCTCAAGTGGACCACGTCACAGCGGAAGCCCTTCAGTGTTTAACATTCAGTCAAACTGGCAATTATTATAGAAACTTAGCTGCAATCCCTGAATTTAGCACAAAGCGCACTAGAGACAGGGAGTGGAGACGCACACACACTGTGTAGCAGCCTCCATCAGAGTAGGGGTTCGCTTGCAACCATTGAGGTGCGGTGCTGCTGATGAGCCACTACAAGCAGGCAACTAACACGGCGTGATCTTTAAATAACTGCTTTTTACAGAAAAGGGCGGGGAAGGCTAAAAAATAACAACGACAGCCTCAACGGCAGCTGCAGAGGACTCGGGGGCCCCCATGCAAGTGTCCGGATCGCAACACACGCCAAAGGGGGGCCCCGTTCTTCTGCTTGGATGTCTTTTCATATTGTAACTAGTCAATTTGTTTTTTTTTTCAGTTTTAACGGTGGTTTTAGGCCTCCTCTTGGCTGCAGAGGATCCCTCAGCGGCGCGATTTTCTGTCGAGCCATTACGTTCACTGCTTGCAGTTTTGACGTGACTGGACCGCCTCAGCAGCACTACTGGCATTTTCTCCGCCGTTAGTGTTGCTGTTGCAGATCTTGCGGCAATTTCCCCTCGTGTTCAGGTCCCCGTGATTGATGCGTGCACTTACCCTTACGCGCCAGCGTCTGCTTCTGCAGCTCCAACGTGAGTTGCTGCAGTGGTCGGTGCAGAGGCAAAGCAGCACCTGCCTTATAAAATCCATCTTTCACCAGAGTTAGTCCGAATCGGATCAGAATTGATGCAGCGGCGGGCGGGGTAATGCCTCGCCCTGGTGCCACGGGAAAATCCGAGCCCGTCGGGCTGCAACAGCCAAAAATGCGGGGGCACCATAACGAAAGTACTGGCGATATACTATTTGGACCAGATGGACTTTGAAAGTCTGCTTTCTGTGGACTGCAGCCTGCTGCTGTTGGTGCAACAGTGGCCGCAGGAACGCCAGCATCGGAGGCACCAGTAAATGGACACACAAAGGTTGAGGGTGGAATTCGTATGAACTTCAGCCTTCCAATGGATGGTGAGAAAGATATTGCTGCTGAAGAAGCAGCAGGGGAGGTTGGCGTAGAAGTTGCAGCTGCACTGGGGACGGCGTGTCGACAACGGATAATCCGAATGCACGGAACATCGCATAGAATTGCACCTGTGATGCCACGGGGAGCAGAGGCATCAGCATTAGCAGCTTGCAATGCAGCGCCTGCGTTAGAGGGAGACACCGCTGGTGATGTAGAAACGGCACGTGCATCAGAGGCAGCTGCGCATCAAGCAGGGAAGGATGCACAGGAATCGGAAGTCCGTTCTTTCTCCTCATCAGCAGTTGCTGTTGGTAGGGCTGAAGCTGAACACTCCTCCGCAGCATCTGGTGTAGAAGTAGCCCGTTGGGGATCGTCGATCCCACGGATGCCTGCGGTTTTGCGCGAGGGTTTCTTGGCAGAGGTTAAATCACTTCAGAAGAAGCCCATAATGAAAATTACAACCAGTGTTGAAGGTGAGTTGCAGATCGTCCTTTCGATGCCCCTAATCTTTTCTTCGTTACCTTGATATTGCTGCTAGTTTTGAAGCTGACGCACCCGCTCTTTGTTCATAGCGTTGTGCTAAGACTTTGGGTGCCCGTGTGCGTTCTGCTGTTTCTTCCTTTTCCACCGTTGGAACTATTGCTGATTCGTTTGATGCTGCTGTCGCTTTCACCTCCCACAGGAGCGTATGGAGAAAGCTCTGTATCTTCTTTATTTAAGTTGTTTTCTCTGCTAAACAAGCACTTCGGGCTCAACGAACACTCTACCTTCCTCGACATTGGCAGGTCCGGTTTGCTTTTGCCAGGTGCTGCTACTTTTGCTCTAGGTTCTGGTGTTTCTGCACCTGTCGCTGATGCTGCAGCATTAGCGATACCTCTATATGATGCTGCTACTGATGGTTCATAAGCACTTCCGTGAGATGTTGCTTCACATCAGGTGCTTCGGGGTCTCGAGATTTGCATGGGATATACATGCGGCGCTGTAACGCGCAGCAAGATGTAGCTGTATAATAATATCGCATTAATTTGTGTCTGTGGTGTTGCTCAGCGGGAGCGGAGTCCCTTCGTTGGCAGCGGCAGCTTTCGGCTGTACTTTCACACTTGGTTTGGAGTTGGATTCGAACGTGTATTCGATTTCCGTCATCAATCATTTGTGTATGCAAGCCCTACCTGTATGCGGCATACAGCGCGAAGAGCAAAGCTTAAGCTTCACTTTGTACGACACGGAATTTTCAGTCATGCTTGTGTGTTGCAGCACTCGTTGATCTCCTGCTGCTGCAGCAGTTGTACCTGGGGGTTCAGCTTAACTGGCATCATACGGAGGAGTTTATCGATGCTGCTCTGAGTGACTTATGTCAGCCTATTGCAGTCAGTGCCCCTGGAGCAACCCCACGGGCAACAGATCATGGACTCGTTCAAAGAGGGGGTCGCGGAGGAATAGGAGCTTTGGGCGGCGCCTCTTTTGTTTCCGAGAACCGTGAATACCCAGATGCATCTGCGTCGTCAACAGCGGCAGTTGCTTCTACTGTAGGTGCGGGCCACGCTGAGCGTCGTCTGTTGGAGACAACGTTCGGGTTTAACGCAGCTTTTTGCGTATTTGATTGCTCCCGTCTTTCTTCCCTCGAAGGCATTTCTCACGTTTTCTCATTTGACCTGGCGATGCCTCCGTGGGTAGTGGCACACACTGTTCGGCTCTTCAACCAGTAAGTCCCGTTGCTCAGGACTGGTGTTTGACTGTAAGACAGGAAGACAAATATTCGGGGAAATCTTTGTCTTGTGGGAGTGTGAGGGGGATCCTTTTAAGAAAGCAAATGATGGAACAGCTATCTGGGATGTAGCGCCGATCTGGGGGGTTGGGATCTGGGGACGTTGCTGGTTGGAAGTTTTTCCAGTGGGAAATGAGGTTATGGCGTTAAAAGGAAGCAAAGTTCGACGGCCTATGCTCAAGGTTTGGGGTTTGGTCTGTTTTGCAGGAGCAAGACTACCTTTGTGTTTGTCTCCTTCCACGGGGACCTGATCTCCAGTTTTGGGATGCACGCCATCCTTGCGACCCGAGTAAGCATTCAACACTATTTCCTCAAATATATTAACTTCAGTGGCTGATAGACAGATCTGAGTTTCAACTATGTGGACCGCATGACTCTGAGTTCAGTGCTGCGTGTGCGTTTCAGCTAAGCATGCGCATGGGCACAAGTGCAGAAAGCCATGTGGGTTTTATCTACCAGAAGGTTCCGGAAACTGAGGCGCAACAGCGGCATCAGCAGCAGCGGGAGTTAAGTAGCACTCAGCAACATGCCGTGACACCTCTTGTTGCCGACTCGGCTAATGCGGCAGGAGAGTGCAATGGTGAAGACAGCATGCAGATGCAGAAGAAGCAGCTGCAGTGGCAGCTTGCGTTGCTACAGGGGAAATTACAGGAACTTCAGGCGCAACAGCAGCAGCGGCGACGACACCCTAGTAAGCTTCAGAGGCAAAGGCAAGAATTGCTGCGAGCATTAGAGGCTACAAAGCAGGAGACTCTGCAAATGCTGCAGCTGATGCTGCAACACCAGCAGCAAGGGCTGCTGCTTCAGCAGCAACTGCAGCTAGTTGCGCTGCTACAGCAGCAGCACGGAGAATGTATGGTGACTGAAGCAAAGCTTGTTGAGGACGCAGCACGGCTGTTGGAGCACCAACATCTTCAGGAACATGATGAGCTCGTGCAACAGCTCTCTTTACAATATTGGGCAGAGAATAAGAGGCAGCAAACGTTGCTGAAGGAAGCAACTGCAGCAGTTGCAGTAGAACAGTTCTCCGCAGCTGGAGTAGGGAGGAGTTCTGCACTTGACAGCAAGGCACAGCAAGTCAGACGCGAGCTGCGAGACAAGCAAAGGCAGCTACAGAATCTGGAGCTCTTGGAGTGGCGGGAGGAGCAAGAGACGAGGAGACTGGAGCTCCGTCAGCGACAGAGTGGACTGCTGCTGCACCAGAAATCAGGACTGGAGAGCCGACGCTGTGAAGGCAGCAGATGGTTGCTGGAAACTGCTCAGCAGCATGCCAAAGATGTACAGCAGAAGCAACGATTGCAGTTGCTGCTGCTGAAGGGTATTGCCAGCAGCCGTACCGACAGAATCCTACATTCGTGAGTCGGCTTGAAGTGTTTTGTCCCTGAACAGGATGCTTTTTACATTGGAGCAACTCTGTTCGCGATGCAGCTGCCCTTGCTAACCCGTTTCACCGGTGGATCTGCTTGATGATTATCCAAATGTTGTACGAATTTAGGTTTACAAGTGGATGTGTTGCTGTCGCAGGATTGCTGCTGCTGGTCGGATTCAGCAAATGGCGCAGATTTTCGTTGCAGCAGTCTCTATGCTGCAGCATCCCGTGTCTCGGCGGAAGGCAACTACACAGCAGCAGCAGCAGCACAAGATGCCTTGCTGTTGCTCTGGGTGCTGCTATCCGCTGTACCGTGGCTGTAGTGAGCAAACAGAAACAGCTGCTACCCGCGTGGAGCTGATGAGTGCAGCTCACCCTCAGCAGCAGTTGCTGCTGCTTCGCCGCGTATTTTCTGCTTTCCAGCTGGACCAGCTGTTAGAAAGGGGGTCATTGATGCAAGAGCCGCAGGAACAGGCCATCGCAGCAGCCCGTACAGAGGCACTATTGGTGCACTTCAGAGATGTCAACATGGTGGGGTTCGACAGACAGAGACACACTACAGGAGGAGGAGCAGCATCAGGAAAAGAAAATGCAGCCGTAAGGATGCCATATCAGTGCTCCTGCAAGCAACAGAACCGGTGTGTTCAACTCAACAGCAGCAGCAACGGTGGCAGCAGCAGCTGTACTGTGTGCATTGGTGGTGCGGCGGCTGCGTTGGCGGATCTGTTGCCCTCGATTCCCTATTCCAGGGTTCATGGGGTAGAACTGCAGTTTTGCCGCCACGGGCAGCAGCAGCTGCAGCGGAAGAGATTATCTCGCCCCATTAGGCGGCATGGACCATCAGCAGATTCAACGGCAGCTGCTTCGACAACAGCAATAGTAACGAAGTTGCCTGCTGGGAGCGTTCCCACGCAGTACGACCACCGTGCAAGAAGTGGGGGACGAGTTGGTTGTGATACCATTAACAGTATTGTGGTCGTTTTGCCCTGCCTCTCTCCTCTGTGCGCCACCTGCTGTTACGGTGATTCGCTGCTGCTCCAGCTGCTGCGGTGCAGCTTCCCGCTGGCGGTGCAGCAGCAACTGCTGCAGCAGGAAGTGTTCATGCAACAGCGAATGCCCCTAATAACCGTAAGTGCTCAGCTGCTCTTGTGGAGAGGCATTTCCTCTTCTGTTCGTGCCACTCACGATTTTTCGTTTTTACCGTGGATGTAGAAAGGTGAAACTGCACCCCCCTGGAGCTTACTGCTGTGTTATGCATGCTGCAGGTAATCGATAAACAGGAGCAGCAGCAGTTGGAGCAGCAGTGTATGCAGGACTGGAAAGCAGCAAAAGCAGCAAACTTGGAGCCATCAGGCGTACCATTGGCAGGGGACCAAACCATTTTCAGAGGGGGCATGGTGGAGTGCCCTTTGGCGGATGCATTTGATGCGCTACAGCTGCTGCAGCAGCAACTGCAGCAGGAGCAATGTCAGCCCACTTGGATGCAACACGGGCCTGGTTCAGATGCTGTCTTTGAGATGAAGTACTTGGAAGCAGCATTTCGCAGTCACTTCGATAAGTTTCTGGAGGTACAGCGGTACAGAGTGCACCTGAGGCGCCCACTGCTTTCAACGGAGCATGCACGGGCACCCGGAGCAGCAGTACCACCAGTAGTAGGGCACTGCGATGAGGATGATGATGCATCATGCCAGAAAAGGACAAACTTCTCAGCCATTGCGTCCTCTTCGTCCTGTAAACAGGGGTGTGCTACAGCCTCCTCCCAGCGACAGCTGAAAAGGCCGCGACGCTCACAGCTAAGTCCTGCATTAAGCGAGACTTCCTGCATAACAGGAGATGAAGCACAACCAGCTGCAAGGGAGCAGCCAACCGCAGTAGCTGGCACTGACTTCTGCAGTGCGTGTTGCAGTGAAGTAGAAAACCCCGTCACCATTTCAGAGGGTACTGAGCTATCAGAAATAGAGCTGGAACCTTATGAGGAGCAACTGCTGCGCATATGCGCAGTTGCTGCTGCGAAGCCGTCCAGGTGTTCATGCAAGCGGGCGCTGCAGCTGCTGCTGCAGCAGCGCCGGCTGTTGGAACGCCACCATAGAGACGGCGACAAGATTGATTATCTGTCAGTAGGGCCGCCCGCTCGGGACGACAGCAAATGGGTGTCCAAAATGACATCTGGCCGTCAGCTGAAATGCAGTGCAACGGTGTCAGCGCTCTCTGACTCGGATTGCTGCAGCACCCACAGCAGCAAATGCACGTGCACCAGCAACAGCAGTAGGGGAATGGCTGGTCGACGTTTAGCGCTCATAACTGTAGCGGGGGAGAAGCTGCAGCAAGTCAAAGGATGTTTGGTGAAAATGCAGACAGCGTTGAGACAGCAACTGCTCCTAAAGGTGCTGCAGAGGGACTTTCCCGGCCACCGTGTCACAACAGCAACAGCGGCTGCTGCTGCCAGTGAACGCGTGGAGAAGGGCGCACTTCCGGTGTATAGCTGCAGTTGCAGCTGCGCTCCGCATCTGCATCTGGAGCAGCAGGAGGTACTTTTTCAAGGAGGCAAGGGCAGCTGCATGTGGTGGAGACAGTATTACTTGCTCCTTGGTGAGCTAGCTATATTGAAAGAAAAGGCCCTCTACAAGGCAATCGACATATGCCTGCAGCCTCAGGAGCAGTCCGCCCCGCAGGAGCCTACGGAAGCTCAGAAGCAGCTGAAGCAGCAGCAACTGCAACAGCCTTTTGGGGGGCAAACCAAAGTAACGTCTGTTTCAGTTAGCAAAGCATTAACACCGGACGGGGAGGGTCCAAGCATCCTCAAAGGCAGCAGCATGGGCTGTCGGTCGTCCGACCCACTTTTGCAGTCGCCATTGGCCCCTCGGAAACGCAAATCTCAGGGGGGATTTTGAGGGCTTGGGTATATTCCCAAGGAGATGAGGTCCAGGGATTGTTGTTTACCCCTAAGACTTGGTGAACTCCCTCCTAGGAACGCCTGTGATACGTAAACAGACGATCGGGCGCACATAACCGCGAGAAGGCCCGGTGTGGTCCATTGCAACCGCAGCGGTTTGATGCTGTTGGCTTGAACAGAAGTGTGCTTCCTGCTTGTGCTGTGGTAGAGTCTGGGCTTGTATGTACCACAGTAATTCTCCAGGTGTTTGCTGTCCACAGTAGTTCAGTCATTCTCTGCGGGGGACGCATATGCCCCCCACAGCTTGTTTCATCATTTTAGCAAGAGCGAAAATTCCTAGTGGCGCAGTGCCGTAATGACCCGAGAACACCACGGGGAACAGGAGGTCAGCAGGCCGTTCTGGGGCCAGAATGTGCTGGTGTAGAAGCAACAGTATGAACCTTCCGTGACCTTCGTATGGTCGAAGTGTTCAGCATATTTCTAGGCGGCGTTTAGTCGGCTGTTGCTCTCCTGCCACACAGTACTGCATGCACTGCCACAGTGTCGGGACATCCTTTGCTGAAGTAAACAACTTCCTAAGACCGTCAGGGTCCAGAAAAAAACAGTCACTTCCGCTCTGCGCTACGGCGGCCGTTAACGGCCTCTGCTCACCGTAAAAGTGTAACCGAACACTACAGCAGCTGCCGGAGTTGCTTGTGGCAACCACGACGTCTTTTCTTCCGAAGATCAGTAAGGGCAGGCAACAAAAAAATACGCGCACGAGCAGAGGTCACTTCGACGATGGCTAGCCGCCAAACGGGCCGGGAGGCATCACCGGCCACGAGAAATCCTTGACGTTGGAGCAGGTGCCTCCATATCTTTCTGCAGAGCACGGCCACAAGCGCAAGAGCTCGAGGTGATATGAAATAGTATTAGTCAAAAGTTCCCTCCACTTTAACATAATGCAGCGCCTACTGTAAGAAGAGGACCAGAGTCTGGAGGAATGCATGAAAGCTGCTTACCTTCAATTTGATTCTGATTAACTGATGCCAGGAAATCATCCTGCAAAATCCAGTCAAAATGCTAGCTGCAAAATATACGAGAAGTGCGTTTCTGGTGGCAAAATTGAGTACTATCTGTACGGAGACATGCTTCTCTGTCCCGCGTCAGAGATAGGGAGACGTGTGCAACTGCTCGGGAAGACTGAGCCGGGCCCGCGAAGCCCGAAGAGTTCCTCACATCAGTACAAGACGGCGTCAGCTTTATCTTTGACTTTGTTCTCTCCGGCAGCACTACGGACACCAGCTGCCATATACTTCGGAATACAAAACCGGCGTTCAGGATCAGCATTCCATATAGCCTGCCCCGGTAGTTCCTCTGTGCCACAGACGAAATCGCAAGAAGCCCCTTCGAAGGAAAGACAAGTAGTTAGAGAGCTAGTGAATCCGTCTTGTCTCACTCCTCTGGTATTACCTCGACCGTTACACATGCGTAGCGAGCAGCAGGAAATATTGTGGAATCCATCTATCACATGTCATGTACTTCCTGGTGCTTGATTGAGAAAAAGAGCATACTAGTAACACATCGGTGATCGAAATTGCGACAGGCAAATAGCTTTTGATGCGCAGTGCTCAAGCGGTATGGCAATTGTGAATGGTTACCACAGCCCCTTCTGAATAGCTACAACACCTGCGTTGGTTTCTCCGCCTGTATTCGCGGCCAATAAGAAGGTGACGAATATCTAAATAGGTAGTACTCACAGTCAGCGTGTCACAAACTTGCTTCAGAATGCCTATTGGCGTGCTCGTAATGCTGCAGTCCTCTAAATCAACAATCACCCGCCATTGTTCCACTTTGTTCTTCACCAGCAGCTTCCCCAGAGTAAATTCTGAGACAGCACAAGGATCTATGCTGAAAACGCAAATGCCATTTGAGCAACTGCTGTCCATTCATTCTGCATGACAACTGGATCAGTTGAAATCTGCAACTGCCACTAGAAAGCAATACAACAACCAAAAGGGTCAAGCCTGGCGCTGCTATTCCCGTGTTAATGCTTTGTGCATCAGATACAGATGAAGGGAAAATGCAGATTACTTGTGACTAACCGAGCCAGTAGATAACAACCAGCATAACGTCTCCCTACACGCATAACACACCCTTAGCACAAAGCAGTGAGTGTCGAACCCTCGGAATATTTTTAGGTGATTTAATTGTACAATTAGCACACTAGCTCGCTTGCTGCCTGCGTTCACATGCAATACAACCATTGGACAGGCTGGGGCCTTAGATGCACGGAAAACTGACAAGGATGAACTTCTTGAAACTCACCACTTGAGAATCTATAAGGTGCTTGCAGCGAATCACCAGAATCGGCCGCAGTGCATGATCTCTTCCGTGAATGTAAATAAAACCTTTAGGCTACAGCAAAGAACAAAGCGGAGGAGGCACCAGTTGGGTTTCGCCCTATCAACCTGAAATCCGGCCTACCCTTCTCGCCGTGTTGGGGTTTAGTGTTGAAAGGTATCGAGTTGGGAACCCCAAACAAAGTTAAATAATCTATGCAATCCTTTGTTCTGCCGCTGTGGCTAAAAACGCTCTCATGCTGAACTCTGGCTCGTCCCACAAGTATAAGAACAGATGACTAGATCCCATGCAGGGGACAAACGCAGATATACGCTTATTGGCGGCATGTAACACAGACAATATACAACTCAAAGGATGGAATTGGAATTCGTTACTTACCAACAAATGCTCTACGGCAACGCGGTGTGTCGGCAAGTTCTTTGCTCGCCATTGAAGGTGTCTCTTCATGTCGGATATACAACGGGCAGTATCCCAGTCATTTCTGAAATAAGGCATTTGCCCACACCCAGTAAAGGACACAGGAAAAGGCGTCTTTGCAAGTCGATGCTCAGCGGGGGAAGATGCAGGAAAAGTTAGGGAGGCACTGCCTTGTTTGGGACCCCCTACCCTTGAAGGAAGCGAAGCGTGTATCGTTCGTCTGCAAAGACAGGAGATTCCCGCAATTCCTTGTCGTCTTCCATTTCCCGTCTCACATCGGACAGGCCTTCGATCTCATGAGGCAGCAAATCCAAGTCGCCGAATATTAAACGTACCGGACGGCCTCCCGGGTTGGGCTGCAAGAGGGCCGAATCACAACAAAGTCTACTGAGACTTCACCCTTTAGCATCAACAATCGGCTGTTCCAAACTGCATGAGCATTCATCTCCTGGGTACCTCCAAAACGTGAATTGTAACTTTTCACGACAGCACAGCACGACGAATCTCATGATTAACCGGAAACCTTGCCTTCAGTATCTCTGATTGCTGCGGCGTGTACGCCAGGGCTTCGCTCGGCATCAGGGACGCATCCTGCGCCGCTGCATCCAAGCTCAACTGTTGGGAAACTGCATCTTGAAAGCAGTCTGTGGAGTTGTCGCTCCCAGCTGAGACTGGAGAGGGAGATGGAGAAGACGACATTTTAACGAAGTCCTGGCAGCTCACAGGGGATGGCACCTCCTGAGGTATGCGCAACTAAGCCAAGCTAAAATATACGGCAATACGGAGAACTGTTCCTATGCTTGTGGCAGCCTGAGACCAGCGGTGTCGCCAGCGGTTGAGCAAAACAGGCTAGAGGTCCTTGTCGCTTCCAGGTCCCAAGGCTGGGAAGAAACCGTTTGTATCCCCGAACTCCATACAGCGAGGCAGAAGATTAATGTCACTTTTTCCTTGCTTTACACTGTTGAAGGAACAACATGAGACAGAGTGTCTCCAATACTTGAAAAGGCGGAAGCTCCCTGCCAGCAGGAACGCCAACCAATGTCGAGGAGCCACTTACGGGGCATGCGACGCAAAATACGACTGCCAAGTTGAATTCAAACCAATGTAAAGGAAGTACGCAAGGATCTATGGGAGTTGTTGCATTCCATATACTTGATCCGACGAAGCGATTGCTCGCAGCTGGCTGCCTGGGAGAAGACTGGAATCTGAGTTCGGTTACTCAAGATGCCAACGTCCCAGAAAGCATGAATATGGCTGAGCTCACGAAGAAGTTAAGTTATTTTTTAACTTTGTTTCACTTCGCCATTTCGCACGCAGTGCATGCAGCGGGCGTCTGCTACTGCCTGTATCCGCTCACAAGCGGCTGCTCAGGTTTTGCGTGCCAGCGTCGCAGGGGTAAAGTTGAATATTATACTGTATTCCTCAATTATCATAGACCTTAGAATGAAACAACGGATAGATCCGCTGCAATCATCACTTGCCAACGCATCACTCCGCCGCTTCGCAATGCTGGTCAACAGTGTGCGCGAACACTGGTTAGAGCATGGTCTGCAGGAGGTAAGTACAAGTATTTCTGCACCTGGGCAGACTGAGGACTGAATACCAAGTCAGCTGTTAACAGTTGTCTACACTGCTAGAGAACACGTCGAAGCGCGGCTTTGAGATCTTCGCGTATCTCGCCTTGTAGCGAGGGTTGCACTGAGTGGGGCTGCAACTCATCCGCACTATCCCCGTGGCTGTGTGCCGCTTTGCCAAAGATGCGTAGGGACAGGAAGGGAGGTCAGCTACTTTTGGAGAAATCTACAACATAACTGTGCATAACTCATGATGCTGCTTGGGGCGAAACGAAGGCCATGGCTATGCATTGCCTATCTCCGGTATGTGTGAAACGTTGATACAGAAGCTCTTAGCCTATCATTGGATTCCTGCTCATGAGGGGCTGATGCTCCTTGGTGGAGCCATCAAACGTCAATAGCTGCCTTTAGGTTTTCTTATGATTACCATTCATAGCCTGTTCTTTCGCCGCAGTGGAGAAGAACGTCCATCGCAGGGAACGTCGAATATCTTCTACAGTTCGAATATGCTTCGGAAAAGCGGCATCTTTTCTTAAGTAGAGTCACATGTGTTGTGCCGCGTCGAAAACCAAGCAGCCTATTGCAACTGTGGCTGTCCGGGTGCACTGTGAAGACGCAAGTGCAACTCCAGAAGAGGAAGAAATTCTTTGATTGCCCTGCATTGCGATACCCACATGCTTGTACAGTCGGCAGCGGAGGAGGCATTTTGCGTTGGTTTTTTTTGTTTTTGCTGGATAACAGTTTTTGCTGGATGGGCTGTGGGTACTGCGCTAGTTCCCATGCGGTGAGCTACGTAGTGGTTGGTCTCCCCTCAGACAGGAGACAAGTTCTGAACAATCTCCATTAACCAACAGAGTTATATGGTGGACATATAAAGTACCAAGAACCTTCAGGAGTGTCCCCAAAAATCAATGTTTGTCAGGTGAAGCACCTTCACGAGTAGTCAATGCTACGCGCTAGTCCGCGAAGCGGTGGCTGTGAAGATGGCAGTTCCTGCTTGCCCTTGTTGGCCAGGCTGCTGAGTTGAAGTGATCTTTGGATATCCCTGAGGAATTGCTTCTCACAAGCGATCTCCAGAAACACACTCGGGCTTTAGGCGCCAGAGACGGCTTCATGGCTTGCGGTTGCTGTAACAACACTTCATAGGTTGTGGACACTGCGATTGTTCCGATGCGAGGATGCTCCCAGCGCTTTGTCGTCTCCACATCAAAGGGAATATCCTGGCCAGTCCTCATTATCGGCGGGTAGAAAACTGAAGAAACGCTTCGAAAGATATTCTTTTGGAGGCTCTTTTCACGTCTAATCAATGCTATGCCCCATGTACAGTTGTGATGATATGGCTCTCTGTTCGCGCCTGCACCGAAAAGCCAAACACCGCTACCGAATGTAATTCGTGTCTGCTATCTTGGCCGAGAATCATTGTGAACTGCTTAGGACGGTTAGGCTTCCCAAAAGGAAGCGAACATCTTGCTTCCGTAAGGGGAGCTGGCATTTCGTCCAGTCCCTGCCGCCCTTCGCACAGTGACTCAAGGGCCTGGAACTACTCAAGGAAGCCTGTCATGTGCTGGCTGCAATTCCTCGAGCAAGACAACCCCTTTACTAATGACTTCAGGCCCCCCTTTAGACGCACGTATTAGCAATGTAAGCAAGTATTCAACATTCACTTGGCCTCTAGTATCCAGCCTGTGAGCACGTAGAACCATACGTGCCAAGCTCTAACAAAGCACGTTACACCCACCGCAATCACTTGCAACGGGAGTCAGCTACCCTAGGACCATCGTGAGCTGCAACCGGGCCAAAAGACATAACCCTAGAAAGAAGCTGACCTTCTCTTCACCCACCAGGCGTTCTGGGCACACCAACCCAAGGGCTTGTGGCTGGGAGAGAGGAGCTCGCCTGTCACGTCGAAACGCACCCCGTTGCGGCTAATGCTCCAACGCACTTTCACGTGCAAACGCAACCAAATTTCCTCTTTTCCTGCCTGCCCTAGGGCTGTAGACAATTATTGTACATCTGCTTGAGCGTAGGGTGCCTACGATTTAGGCCAAGTGAGTGCTCATCACTCAATTTCCAAGAGAAAATGGTACAGCGCCAGCCCCACGTGCAGCTGTGCTCAATAACCCTGGATTCTGAAGGGACACTCGGCGGCTCTCTGGAAATTCTCATATGCAAGCATTTTGACTCTTGCAGGTCCCAATGGTTCACGCCTAAGGCTGGGAATCTTCTCTACCACCAGCCTAAACGCAACAGAATTGCCCAGAACGCGGGTGCATTCCAGCGCACTGCAGTAAGAATGCAATACCACGAGAGATGTCAAGACTCGCTGGAGAAACTAAAACTACTTCTTCTATTTAGAAGGACTTGCTTGATCCTGATAATAAAACGAAAGCTATGGCAATGCTTGGGGCTGGCAGATGGCGGGGCCAATGCGCTACCGGGCTTCGAGAGGGGCATGCTCTGCGCTTGTTAAGAATTCCCGCATCCATTAAGAATGTAAACCGGAATTCTACAAATTTTTTGTGAAACTAGGGGATCTGTTAGAACTTGTATTGTGTCGATATCGGGGTAATGCAGCAGCGGCTTGGGCACCCCCCTTTTTACAGACTTGCGCCTCTGAAGGAGATAGAGGTTGTCAATACAGCAGACTACCCTGTACAACCCGACGGTATTATTTCTACTACAGACGCTTAGAATATTTCTTTCTCACCTCCGCAGGCGTCACCATGAGTCATCGTCATCGTTCCGTCCTGAAACAGCGGAACAAGGCATTTAAGGGGTCATCTTCCAAGCCTAAGAACCTCAAGGAAAAGCGAAGAACTGTGGCAGCAAATGCTTTGGCTCTTTCCATTAACCGACCAATTACGAAATCCGACCGTGTGCAACGGTCTAAGCAGCGCCGCCTTCAGCTGCGCCGCGACTATCATCAGCAACAAGTATCGAGTTCCACTGGCCCACCCCCGAAGGTAGTTCTCCTTCTGCCGTTTTCCGATTCTGTATGCGTCGACAGGGTCTTTAACGAGATAAGACGGGAACTCGTTTGCGAAGGTGAGGGGACAGTTGACGATGGGAGTTCGGGTGGAGATATGGACGAGGACGAGACCGGCACAGGAACTAATGGTGTGAAGGAATCGTCTTTCCAAAGCCATCCTCATCACTGCCGCTACTTATTCACCTTGCCTGCTTATGCACGGAACCCAGCAATACCGAAAAGGCATCGTCAACAAGTGTTGCTGGTGCCTGCGCCCCGCATTCACGACCGAGACACAGGTGACGTAATGCAGGAGGAAGGGGGACAACCCGAACGGCCGAGTGAGCTCTTGAGATATATGGATCTGTGCAGCTGCTGTGACGTGTTGATATGTCTCTTCGGCGGCAAATGCACCTACGAAAACAGTGCCTTTAGTCGCCGGGGATACAAAGTACTGCAGGCCCTCAAGCTCCAGGGCCTCCCACCTTCGGTAATCGGCGTCGGCTGTGTAGATCCTTCCTTGTTAGATCCGGCAGATGCTCCCCAGGGAAAATACGCGGTGAATGAAAGTCTCAAGTTTATGCGCCGCTTCTTTGAATCTGAGCTAGGCGCCGAAAGGTGAATGCATAAGACACTAAAAGAGGACACCAGTGGGTCCTGTCGGCGTAAAACGTTCCACGAGAGCTGCAAAGTATTTAAATGCATGCTGGAGCGAAAACACCATAGTAGTACGGTGTTTTGGACCTTTGCTCCCATTGCTACCCGACCTATCCGTTGAAGAAAATACAACTAACTCTTCGGCAGCTGCGCGTTTGACGTACTTTGATGTGCTTTGTAGGAAGTTTTTCAGCATCGGGAACTCAACGGACTGGCGTAATCCTTTACGGGCTTTGGGGGCTGCTGCTACCTTGGCCCAAGCTGATCTAAATGCGAAAGGTTTGGCAAAGGGAGCGGAGGCGGCTGCTTGCAGAAGGCGAGGGCATCTACTCGCTTTGAGCTGGCGCATAGCGTGGCACACCTTGTCGGACGATCCCACGGCGCAGCCGGAGCCCTGTCTGGAAGCTTGGGGACTGGTCCGCGGAGCCGGTCTCACTTGCAAGTGAGCAAAAAGGAGCTATCGTTGTGCATGCACAAGTACATGTCGCGCTACGAGCATCGCTGACTGCGTTGCCTTGTCATAGCGCGGTCATGCAGGAATATTTGGTCCTGTATGGGAATGGGCGAGCAAGCTTTCAGCTTCGGTCTTGCTGTGGCGCTGCAGGCTGCCTGTGCATATAACAGGTGTTGGCGACTTCGTGCTCTCCAGAATTGAGCCTGTGGGGCCGCCGCCAAAAAGGCGGGAGTACGCTGCATTAAATAGCCACACAGCAACTGAGATGGAAGCCCTTGGGGCAGGCCTGGAAGGTTAGTGGATGGTACTCAACATACTGTGCACAGCCGCCTAAGGGTGCGCCCAGATGTTTTCATGTAGCTGCTTTCTGTGGAGACTGTTATTTGCCACTGGCTGAGAATATGGAACTCGACATTCATGTGTTCCCTCCCCACAGAGGTTGTCCAAGCATGCCAACCCTTGCAGCCTATGGACATTGCTGCCTTGGAGCAAACCTGGCCCACAGAAGACGATATTACCGGTGACGGTGAGACCGAGTCAGCTACTTACAGGAGGCGTGTCCGCGTCCCTAGGGATGTAGGCGATTATGAGCGAGCGTGGCTGGAGTCAGATACAGACGGTACAGGTGACGAACGCGAGGACGAGGTATATATGAACAGCGATGCCGATATGCAACCTGAGGAGGCTGCTTCTGGTTAGTCTGGGTTTTCCTTTGAAAATTTTCCCTTTCGTATGCCCGCAGTGCATTGTAGAGGATGGCCATCTCTGGCCCCGATGTGAAGTTGTCCACAAATCGTGAGGCTTGGTTTCCCTTGCAGCGGACGCTGAGCAGGCCTCAGGCGCACCTGATGAAGCAGATGATGATTGGAAGCCCCTCAACGGTGCAGAACAGCAACAGATGAAAACAGATAAGTATGTGCGGGACATTGTTGGCAGTTCAAACGTGGGACCCAATAGTGACGAAGGAGCCCCTTCTGAAGGGTTTCAGCACTCATCGGCGTCTAGTGCTCGCTCTGGCGTCAGATGACTGTGTTCGTTGTTTGGCGTTCAGTGAGGCTTATGCGGCCCAGCGACGGGAAGCAGCAGAGATGGAAAAGGAATTTCCGGACCAAGTCAGTTCGAAATATTTTTATTACCATTTTGCCGGTGCAGCAATCGTGATGCAGAGACGACAGTCGTAGAGGACTGTGATTTCGCACGCGCAGGTCGACACTCCGTTGGATATTCCGGCGAAGGAACGCTTCCAGAAGTATCGCGGCCTGAAGAGCTTCCGATCGTCACCTTGGGCTCAGAATGAAGACCTGCCTCTGGGTTACGGCCGCATTATCGATGTGTCCAGCCTGAAGGTAGATGATTCAGCGCCCCCCACTTGCGGCTGGTCCTGAGGCAGGCGCTTGGCCTAGTGCCCCCCTCATAATTCATAATTTCTTGTAGAAATGTCGCTGACGCACTCTTTCTCTTGGCCGCTTGCGATTTGTGTGCTCGTCAGGGTCTGGCGGCATTTGCACATCGTGCTCATGCACAAATGTGTCAACCCACGGCCGGCTTCTCAGGAAGGTTTTGCCGCTTGTTGTTGCCACTGCGTCATTCATACATGCTGCAGCAGCTACTGAAGCAGCATCCATCTCGGAGCAGCAAGGATCTTGAGGAGGCTTTGGTTGAGGCGATGGCGCAACGAGTGGCTGGGCGCTTCGCCGTTGAAGCTCAGAGTCTTTCGTCTGCTCCAAAGTCCAGTGCAGATGACGACCTGATGGTTCCCGATTTTCTTTTAGTGTCGCAGTTGTTGCAGCACGAGAGCCAGGTGGCGGTAGTCCACTCCCAATTAACGTTTTGCGATGATGTACCCATAAAGGGCAAGGATCCACTGTTGATGGCTTGCGGATTCCGGAGGTAGGTTTCCTTGCCTTCTCATATGCCGATGCGCCATGCAGCGCGTGCCCATGTTCCTTAGAACTCATTTGCCTTTGCCACTTTTTTGGGGGCTTTTTGAATGTTGGATGCAGATTTCCGGCCGCCCCAATTTACTCAGAAGAACCGCGGCAAGGCGTGCGTAGCGCGGCGAAGTGGAAACTTAAGCGCTGGGCAGAACCAGGCACAACTGTCACCGCAACAGTGTACTCGCCACTGGTGCTTCCACCGTCTCCCTGCATTATGCTTCGGTCGGACAAGTCAGGTGCGGATTTATATGGGAGTTTCATTTGGATGTTCCATGGAAACGTATGTTGCAAATGGTCCGACCAGGTTCGACGTTTTTCCGTCTGGTGTGAATTGTGGACTGTGCAGCCTCCGACAGCGTGTGCATTACAGCGTGGGGGTCAGTTCTTCCAGTGAATAAAGCGAGTAGCCGCTTAATTATTAAACGCGTGCTCCTCAGTGGCCATCCATTCAAGGTTCATAGGCGCAAAGCAGTTGTGCGGTTCATGTTCTTCAATCCTGACGACGTGCGGTGAGTGAAGGGACTGGGATTTTATGATATGCCGCCAGGTTTTTAGTGCGACTGGCAGAGGCGAGTGTTTGGGAGCACTGAGGCCATAGTCTCTTTCCTGCCCGCAACATTTGTGGAGTCTGCGTTGTTTAACTCCTAACTCTCCCTGAAAACGTCGAAACAATATGTAGGGAAGTGCCAGTTCGTATCGGCAGCCTTCGTGTCGCCCGTTCTCTGCAGGTGGTTTGCACCAATCGAGCTGCACACAAAGAGGGGACTCCGCGGAAACATTGTCGAGCCGTTGGGTACGCATGGGTACATGAAGTGCAAATTCAGCGACTACCTCAAGCAGAATGACGAGGTGAGCAGCAGTTTGGTTAACCGCAGCTACCAATTTGTTCGTGCAGCATATCACCTAAGCATGCTTGCGCGGGGTTGTAGGTTGTTCTTCTGACAGCGTTCGCCCGGCATAAGCTGAAGTGTGAATGGCGTGCACATTTCAGGACGCTTAGAGCGCTTCGTGTTGCTTAATAGCTGAAAAGAAGGCTGGTGCTACTTGGCAGCCTAACGCTGGCTTGGTTGCTTCTAGGTTTATCTGCACGAGGAAGACAACTAGGATGCTGATTGCATCTATACGGTTGTCTTCTTCGTAATGAAGCGAACCGATGCTGACAAGGGCATTGATTATTTACGTTGCTGCTCTCAGGTCTTGCTACCCCTCTACCGTCGAGTATTTCCAAAGTGGTATCCACAGTCCTGGGGTGGACTTCCAAACCAGCAGCCAATAGACTAATTATTTAATTCATCATAGCACCACTGATTCCTTTGTGCAAGTTCCACTCTTGACAATGCCCCAACTTCCGGAATATTCAGAGATCAGCTGCAAGCCATGCTAGTGGGGCGCTGCGCATCTCCCGCTCGTTTAGGCAGAGCCAACACTATCAATGGTTCTCACCCTTTGGCTGTAAAAACTCACAGCCGAGTACGAAGTATTTTGTTCTTTTGACTACAGCTAACTGCTGTCGTCACTGGTGGAGATGCAGACAGATTTTCCACGGTTGTAGTCTGCGAGGCTTTTCTTTGCTGTTGCCTGCCGCCGAACAGAGCCTCCAACTGCAGTCCTATCTCCAAGTGTAAAACTACTCTGTAGAGGGTTGCGCAGAATGACTCTGAAGAGTTCCCTTCAGAATGGTCGTCAGAAGCTTTTTACTGCAAGCAAGTTGTAAAGTTTTTTCACAATTTCGCACGGGAGAATATTCTGGTCAGTTACGTATTGGTTTTGGTCTGGGCACTCACGTGGTCGGTTGAATAGTGTACGCACTGGACCATTTCATGTTCTGATGCGGCGAAGCCAAAAAGGTAAGAAGGATTGGTTTCGAGTAGAAATGTGGAAGCAGATTACTGGCGTGTTCTTGAATTGCTCCGCGGAAGCATGACCCCCAAAAAAGCCCTTGCCAATCGTGACTTTTTATTAGTAGCATTTACTGATGACGAGCGGGTGCTTATATGTAAAGGCAGAGCGTGTTTACTAGGTGGTTTTGATGGCGTGGGGCTGGAGTTTTCCAACGTGGCCTGTGTACTGGGGTTGTGGCCGTCTAGACTGGTGGGTGCGACTGGCGCCTGGAGAAGGGGGGCAAATGGACGACGTCCCAATGTGTTCACTTCTGCTGTCGTGACATGTGACTGGGCCAGAAAACCTTCATCCAAAGGGAGTGCAGTGTCAGCTTCCCATGATAGCCTGGATTTGAATCGCTCCTGGGCGCGTGGTCTGGAGGAATTCTGCTTAGGGCTTCCTTGAGGCTGCGTCTGGTTTGCAACGGCTTGGAGATGGTTGAAACAGCGTTCCTTTGGAGGGATATGAACGGTGTACCTTTGGCGAATCTGCGAGTCCCACTGGCGAAGCTGCTGAAGTCTTAAAGGGGCAGCATCGACGCTTAAAGCCCTGCATATCTGTTTATCGTTAATGGAACACAACCGAGATTCGCGAAGGCCGTTTTTGCTCCCGCTGAAATCCGCATCGGCCGGGGGCATTAGGGGCTGTCTCTCCTGGTGAGCATTGGAAAGTTCTAGCCTACTGTCATCTGTTCCCTTGCGCGCCATCAGGATGGCTGTTTCGTTTGCCAAACCGATTCCCCCATATTGTCCGCCGCCTTCCACCCATGGAACAAAAGTTTCACAGAGCTCTTGCTCTTGCCTGATGAGGCGGCCGTTTTCTTCAGGCATATGTGTATGGGCAGTCGACACTTCTAGCGACTCCATCTGGCTGCTTGGTAGCCATCCATCCTTGGAGAAAGTTTCTATGTGCCTTGTCACGCATTGTTGTCGTTTGTCGACGGTTGGTGTGGCGCGTTCTGATGCGTGTGGCAAAAGGATAGTCTGACAAGGGAGCTCGGATTCGTATTCGCTAATGAACGAGCTGTTAGTTACTGACAGTACATCATCGCAGCCCTTATCCCGGACACGTATGATTGGGCGAAGAGCAGGCGGGGGGGGGAATCCATGAGACAAGCATGCCCATAGGTCGTTAAAACGCCATCTCCGGTCTGCCGGCATATCTGCAGACGTATTCAGCTTCGTCTGCCCTACAGCTCTGCAGGGTCGTTCGTCTGCGTCTTCCCATTTGCCCTGAACATAAGCTTCTACCGGCGTACCACATTCTCTTTCTGTGGAGCCCTCAGGATGCTTTATTTTTTTTATGGGCTGCTGCTGGACTTGTTCTGGCTGACGATGAACCACACCATCACGGAGGTGCGGATCCGGTTGTCGTTGCTTCTGAGCTGGTTGTTGCTGACGCTTCAGCAGAGTCGGTAGTGGGCGTTCCTCCGGATCTTCAACTTGAGTGCCCTCCTGTTTGCTGCCGGGGCATTCATCTTTCGCATGCTGTGGCAAAGCTTCCTGTGTGCTTTCGGGGATTAAGCAAAAGCTAGAGTTGCTCATCCCACGCGAGAGCGGCAGTTTAATCGAGCTGAAGTGTGGAGCCCCACAACTCTGCCCTTCGCGCGTAGAAGGCCCTTCTAGCTGCTCAGGCCTGTCATGCGCTGCAGAATTATAATGGCAAGGAACTCCTTTGTTAACTGGTACCACTGCAGGGCATTCAGGGTCGCAACTCATTGATATGGCTCCACATTGCGCAAGCCGTCGCAACACGTCCTCCGGATCAGAAACCCCCGCATTTTTAAGGACAGTGGTGACAAGCGCGTATTGCGCTTGAAATGTATCCTGCTCAGCGGTTCTGTTAGCGTTCATAGGCGTGGTCCGTGAATGTGTCGTTGGGTGCCGAACACAAAAAAAATCTCGTGCATCTGCGGTACAGCACTGGTGCTCGCAGCAAACGTCGCGAAATCCGGTGCCTTGGTGAATGTGCTGAAGCACGCGACGCTGCTGATTCTTCAAATACCGCATTTCTTCCGTTTGCCTCCTCACCTCAGCTTGTAGGGCTTCAATGCCTACCAGGAGGCAGCGTTCAACTTCGTTGCCAGTGGCAGGCATTTGTTGAACAAATCTCTCGCGGGGAATGCCGTGCCCTCTCTGTTCATCTTCTGACTCTGGCTGCATTTTACTTTCTGAAGGAACACGTATAGTCATTTCCTTGAGAGAATGGTCAACGTTTTCTTGATCGAGCATAAGCCGCTTGGGTCCCGTCAGCCAATGCCGGCTGCCCACATCACCGTCGAGAGATGCGTTCGAGGCTTGGTGTGGTTGCCGCTGTTTCTGCGGTCCGGCTGCGGCAATATTTGCATCAGCTAGCTTCTTTGATCGAATTAACTGCCATGCGTCTTCTTCTTCCTTTGCAAGCTGCGCCGATGAACGCACGCCAAAAGTTAACCTAGCTAGTGATCTCACTGCTTGAGCGTAACACTACTCGCCCAGCGATATTTGTCTTTGTTCATACCCCTCAAATCGCTTACCCTCTCTTGTTCTATTTCCCTGCTCAGACGAATCCTTTCCTCCTCGTCTTCTTGTTTCCTCCTGGACTTTTCTGCCTCACGTTCTGCTTCTCTTTCGCGCATCTGTCTTAGCAGTTCTGCTTGGTACTTTTTTCTAGCCTCTTTCAAACGTTGCTGAGCAGGGTCTGCCTCACTGAAGTTAGGCAAGGCACCACCTGATGACGGAGCCGTTTGGCCAAAGGCTTCCTTCCCTTCCGAATATTCCTACAAAAAGTGTTCAGGACATCGACGACTGTACAAATTGTGCATAATTTGACTAGCGATAAGCACACAGTTACTATGTTCTAAGTGGTAACACATGTTGCGGTAATATGGCCTTTGTGCTCATAAGGCCCAGCACATTCAGACGACAGAAGAATGCAGATTATACCCTTCACTCAAGCAAAAGCAGAAGGTTCAGCTACCCTGTTACATAGTTGTCGTTATTTGTGAAGTTGCCCTAGGGTCCCTACACCGTTCCGCGCACTAACCTTGGTTGGCACGGCATTGAATGGCGGAGGTTCTCGTGCAGTTGATTCGTCTGGGCAATACCACGCACCGAAGAACAGATCAACCGGTACCAGTCGCTAGGCCAGTATTGAGGATGGTAGGATGCTTCACGTCGAGGGGATACTAATGACTCTTCATTAGCCTTGTATCCACTGTTGAGCAAGTGATAACCAATATATGGTGAATATCAATTCATGTGCCTACAGAATGCCTGTGATGCATAAACTAACGGGCCCTTGTCTCGACGAACCGTGGTTCTGCAGGCGGTCACGATCCTTAGTTTGCGGCTGAGAGAGATAAGGGAGTGGCTGAGGACCGAGCGGGAAAAGGGAAGGATGCAACAAGCCAGTCGGTTGGAGTAGAAGAGGCTGCTGGTGGAGTAATGGGGCGGGGACCACGGAGGGAATACTGGCTGTCGATATTCCCTCAGAATGAGGAGCATAGTAAGGCGGTTGCCGAAGGATTAGCGGCGCTAGAGCCGCCAGTGAATGCAATGCGCTTGCCAAGTCAACGCTTTCCTGCGTTGGTTTTTGTTGCAGGTTATTGTTCTTGCCCTCTGTATAGGCATCAGCGCAGCTTTTTCCTTGGGATTTTACCTGAGCAATTGAATTGAGCAACTGAATTCGCTGCAGATTGTGAACGACTGTGCTTGGCTCCTGAACGGGGCGAGTAAATGGGGGGTCGTTGCGCGGCTACGAAATCCATGAGCCTACACTAAGCTTAAGTCACATTTATTAGGATTTGACAGACATAGGATCTGAATGCAAGCTCTGCCTTTCGAATTGCACGATCGGTTGCAAATGCTACAAAGTGCTGGTGCTGCTGGAATTTACTTCGGCTTCATGTGGTGTGTCACCAGTACTTCTACCGGATGTGCTTGTTTGTGCCGTCCAGCCGGAGGCATGCATAGCCGGACAGTTTTGTAATGGCTGCACCTTCACATCAGGAGGGATGGGTAGCCCACGCTCTTCGGCTCGTTGCTGCAACCTCTGAAGCTTTTGCTGCTCTATCTGTTGCAGCAAGATCTTGCCGTATTCGGTGGGCATTGCGCTTTGTGGTAAATAATAAAGAAATAGGGACTTGACTGAGCCTAGGGAGACCTTGAATGCTTGGACACTGGGGATGAAAGAAGCAGATTACAATTATTGGCACTACCTTTTAAAATGGATTGCAGGCTTTATTTTTACAGGTTTGTCCGCACACTTTGCAGGCGGACTAGGCATATTAAGTCCACGTGTAATACCTCAAGATTTTAGTTACGATATATAATATTGGTGGACCTCCTGTTGTTTTGTATCCAGGGCTGTAGATAGCTACCGGTGACTGTTCTACACCATGTCTCTCTGTCCAGCGAGGGCAACGCCCCACTGAGCCGCGCCTCGTACGTCATGCACAAACACCATTAATGGAAGAAATCAAAAGATCTTTAGATTGTTATCATCGGCAAAAGAGGATATGAAGTATTTTAGAGGGTCGGAGACTCTTTGCTGTGCAGCTTGGCGCCGTCAGCACGTCGCCCTCTTATTTGCGAATGTGCCAACAGAATTTGGTTCTACCAAGTGCATCGCCTTTGCCGAAAACTTGATTCTTTTCATTTGAGAGGTTTTAGCCTTAGTGTAATCTGCTTTCTTTGTAGTGAAGGACCACCGCTACTAATAAATGACCCTGCTCATATGTGGGGCCGGCGTGCAGTTGAGATGCATATATCAAACCAGTGGGACGACTCTGGAGAGGTGAAATACCATAACATTTATTCACCAGGATTCAGGTAGAGAGGATTTGAAAGAACCGCTGGCTTCTACGAATTCGAACGTCCCTCAATTACTCACCATTGTTTCCAAAGTGACCCAAACCCTTTGGACACTTTGCCACCTAGCTGCTAGTTCAGCTAGCGGATATGTGCCCCTTTGGAATGACATTTACTGTATTTAAGAATCTTCTTATATGCGTGTTTTGAAACATCTTTACGAAATAGTTGAAATGCCACATGCGTGGAAGCCTTATAGCCGGCCGGTGCGTTGGCGCTCCGTGCGCCAAGTGCAAGCTCACGACTTCCCGGAGAACGGGCAGATGGCGCTGCGCTAACTACTACGTCGATGCATTGAATTTCATATGCTTGGAACAGAACTGCTCCACAGAGCATTACCTGCAGTGCATCGATAGCGCCGTGACCTGGACGTCCTCGGCCAGTGAGTCGATTTGCTCAGTTGGGGCTCTGGGCACTCAGCTTGTGAGACTACATTTTGACATAGCAAATGGGTTACTGCCAGACCTATAACAAATCCGTGGTGACCGGCCATGGGACCCTGATAGGGAACTGGATGGAAGAGGAGGTCCTCCGGGACGCTTCTGGGCACACTCATCTGGATAGGTACCCATGCAACCGAACGAAAAAGCCGCCAGTCCTGAACAGTGATCACGACGTCAATTTGCATGTGCCGAGACTAGCATGAGGACCAACACCCGACGAAACTGTAATGCTTTTTATTGAAATCACTGTGCTGTGCAGCTCCCCTCATTTAGATACATTCATGCGCGTGATGGGAGATCGGCCATACCCAGTGGCTGAGACTTTCGTCACCAGTGCTGGGCGCCGCACTCATCCTCCTCCACGGCAGGAAAATGAAAGCCAGCAGCCTACGCAGCATGAACTTGCCTCACGGAGAATAAAAGAGTTAAGCTCTTACATGAACGAAACCTGTATGTTTCGTTCAACGGCAATTGATGCAGCGGCATTAGAAGCAGCGCTCAAAGAGCGCAGTGAAAACAAGGTGGGTGGCGCAGCGGAGCTACCCAAAGCTGCATCCCTATCTGCCACACACTTATTGGCTTTGAAAGCCATAAGGCGAGCCTTCATCGTTCGATTATTCAGTAGTTTAGCTCTTCTGCATGTATTCCTTCCTCCATGGTCTGTAGCATGGGCTGTGCGAGGACGTGGGTGCATTCCGAAATGGGAAGTATCAGCCATTCCAGGGGTGCTGCATGCTGCATTTATGTGAAAACACGTATGTTTTATTTTTGGAAGGTGCTGCAGAACGTTTCTGTCCATGATGAGCTGGAGAAATGTACCCATGAAACGGAATCCTCCGCGAAGTTTAGGTTTCACGTGAGCAGCCACATTCTCAGCAGTCCAAAAGCTGCTCACTGCGCGCGACCGTGTTATCAGAGCAAATCCCACCTACAGCACCCCTTCCAGTGCAGTCCATTGAGTTTGTAGGCTTTTATGGTGCAGCTACCACACGTCCAGGAAGACAAGCTTCCAACGCCTGAAGAGAGTGCCGAAAAGTATTTCCAGCAGGTAGATGCATCGGCCCCTCTATTTCTATGCGTTTTCTGCTCCTCGCCAGCCAGTCGTCCACAACAGTCATGTCTCACCTTAATAGGATGGGGAGGCGTTTTCACCCCAAGCTGTCGGTTCCCTCTTAGGCTAGATGTAGCTGTTTCGCGATGGACATGCGCTCATAGCTCCCGCTGCTAAGTTTAAGTTGTTTCCTGGCTGTATGACTCCTTACAACTTGCCAGCAACTGAGGTCTGGAGCACTGGAGGGTGCTGAACTTGTCAGCCGTTGGACTGAGCTAGCCAACGTTCGGAGGTCAGAGACGTAGCCGCATACTAGCTGCAAGCAGTTTCACATGTGTATGCGCGAATCCTTGCCTCTTTTATCCTCTGAGCGCGATTGTGGACCAAACGGTTTGCATGCGGCCTGCAGCTCTAGTGTGCAGCAGACCTCATGCACGGGGCAAAACACCTTTGCGAAGAATAGTGCCTTCTCGATCCCAATACAGAATTCGCTACAAGTATGGAATACCATAAACCTATACGGCTGGCATAGAGTAAAACTTGAACCCTGCTGGCGAGTTAAGCTCATTGGTATGCAAAGTAAACTTCATCCCGGTGGTATTTTCTCGTGGGCTACGCCGACGCAGGGGTTATGCAAAGACACAGAGGCCTTAGATATTCTCGAAAAGTCTCTGAGAACCAAGAACGAGCTGCACATCACATCTACAAAGGTCAAGCGCATAAAATACTACATTTTCTTGAGCCCACGTACTGTTCCTCCACAAAAACATAGCGACTTTCCCACCCACCCATCGCCAAGGGACAAGAACCAAGCAGAAAGTGCAACTAACCCTGTTGATGGTCTGTGTTGTAATATTATCATCGTACAGCACCATTTGCTAACGGTGGATGTGGGTTATGCAGCCAGCGCTGCAGACTTTCAAACAACGGCTTCGTGAAGCCATCAAAGCGGCAAAAGGATGCTTGGGGTTTCTTATCCTAAAGGCTGTTCTGAAGTAAGCCAGGCCTCAATAGCCCAGAGATTAACAATGCCTCCTTTAGTCGTAGCGTTGGCAGGATTTCGACTAACCTTTGCCTGCTGTGGAGTGGTACCTAGGGAGCTAAGCGACGCTCGGGGTCTAGTTCCAGCAGAATCTGTGGAACATTTCCTCTGGGAGGAGCTTGGTATACAGTCAGCACACATTGTGAGGTGTTGCCCAGCTTAAGCGCTTACCGGACATGCGATGCTGCACCCCAGCAGCACTCCAACGGTAGATCCAGAGGTGCCTATTGTTATTGTGGTGCATGCAGCCTATAGAGCACTTGAGAAGCGCCTTAAAAATACTGACATTAGTGGACAAGACATCTATACGGATTACTGACCTTGTGGAATTTATTTGGGTAACATTCGCAATGACTAAGTAAAATGCGTGGTCCCCCTGCAGTTGATGAAGTTCACAGATTTGCACAGCGGGGGTTTACTAGCATGATCTGAATGCTCCCCACCATGCGTTTCTGCGACAACGGTTGCCATGCATTTGCAACCACCAGAACTAGGTTTTCGTTCGCACTAGATGAAATACGCAAAGATCTGCGCATCATAATCAGTACACTCACTTCAACTGGACAGCGCTCAAATGGCTTTTTAAGTTCTGCTTTAATGTGTACTTATTGAAGGTACCTATTGAGGCTTGCCGAAGAAACATCCTCGTAGCCTTCCACCAGGCTGCCACCTCTTCGAAGGATATTGTAGCAGCAGGGTCCAGTGCTGCAACAGTACGCATTACTCACCCTCGGCCGTCGATACAGCTCAGCAGCATCCCGGAGTTCCTGCACCCTTTCCTTCACGAGAAGGATGCTCGTGACAAAGTGGCTCTTCCAATAGTGCTTGAAGCCCTCGTGGTAAGTTCCCTACTGCCACAGACAATGATCAACATAGCAACATGGTAGTAACTATCTAACTCGACACATCCATAGTTCGCGAAATCTTTCCGCGAATCAGCTGCTCTCATACAGCACAGTCGTTTCCTGTGTCTTCAGGATTTGAGCCAAGGCATTGCCGACGACGCCTGTTTCTTAGCAACCGTTTGTGAAATCGCTGAAAAGGAAGGTTTCCATCTGTAGATGCACACCACCGATGAGAGCCTGTGCTTAGCTGTTTCTGACTAAGACATCATAAATGGAAGTAAAAACATCACGAGCACATGTGACGCATGATCTGCCAAGGTGCCAGTTTTAGCATTTGAGTTTTTAGTCGTTCGTAGTACTGCTATGCAGCCAGATCCAGCGTATGTACAAAGGAAGCAGCTAGTTTAGAAGCATATATGCTACCCGTATCTGTAAGGGAACGCTAGGACCAGTAGAACGGAGTGCGCTTTGAGAAGGTAGAACAAGTTGCAGACAGTGCTCTTTTTACCACTGTTCTCGAAGGTCTGCGGCAGATTAGTCCACGCCAGGCAATGGAAACCGTCGTAGCGCGCTTTCATCGAGTGTAGCAAAGACTACTTACTTCTGAGTCTCTTACAGGTCCTTAATGCAGCAACCAACTGAATATGAATTCCGTCGTGAGTTATTAAAGAGCCAGTGCAAATTTCACGAAACAATAGTGATCTTTAACATTCAACTAGCCAAAGCAATGCGGAATCCTGCGTAACGTTGTTTTATACTCACATCTCTCCCGAAAATGCCATTTTTAGCGCAACTCACATGACGAAAACCGGAATCCTTGGCCTGCTTCTCTCTCATGTCGAATCGTCGCATATTTCTCCTGCTCGCCTGCATTTAAAGGAAACTGTACGTGTAAGGAAAAAAGGAGTACTTAAAAGTGTTCCAGCCCTTTTCAGCTTACAGCAGCTTTGGCTCGGCCTCTAAGTACAGCGGAAGCCGAATATGCTTTTCTATTTAACCGCGTACTCGACTGCTTGGGAAAACATAGTGAGCGGCAACCAAAATTATTGAGCAACCGAGAATAAAAAATTGGAGCTCTCAGTGCATTTTGCACTTCTTTAGCTCTTCCCCGGCTTGAACAACTAAAAAGCGATCCAGATGACAATGGCCACCAAAATGTGAAAAACGTCAAAAAGTGCTAGTGTTGCATTCGCCGTAAATTGCCGTTGGCGCCACCGAACTGTGGTGATTTGATAAGCGAGTAAAAATTTATTTGCTCCACGCTTCACTTCAATAAGGCTTTTCCTCCAGGAGCGTTTATAGGGCTAGGACGGCCTCTCCGAGTGAGCCTATCAAGGAGGTCATCCGCTGCTTTTAAGGTTTCTGAGTTGCTCATAGCTGCTGTGGTTGAACCGGCCTTCATGCCAGCAACAGCCCGCTGGAGCATAACGCGCTTCACAGAACGACGTTGTCTGAAGTACTCGCGGACTCGTGAAAACGAACTCATTCCTTTTCGCAGAAGCCTGGAGATGGCTGATCCCAAGCACATCTGGAGACGCATGAGTGTCTTTGACTGGTTCACAACAACGGAGATAGCAGAGTTAATGGTTAGGAAGAGGGAAAATCCACCAGCTGTACCAGAAAACAGTCCAATCAGAAAGACCTGCTCAATCGCTGTCACCCACGCTGTGCCGAGAGCAGCACCTCCAGGAACAGGGCTGCAGGCCATTTCTTGAAAAACAGGGTTCCACAAGCAGTCAACTGGGGGCGTCGCTCCCGATACAACTAGGTTCTGCAAAATGTCGAAGAAACTCATGACCGCATATATGCCCATGAATGTAAGAACGAATGAAGAGATGATTGCAGCGACTGCGTGCTTCCTTCTAGTAGAGATCCAATCCAGTACCATGTTACCCATAAAGGGAGCCTGCTGACGAAGATGAAGTCCCAGGTAGTGGTTCCCTAGACGCTGTTGGGCACGAGAAGAGAACAGTATATAGTAGGCAAACATTGAGGCTTGGCCGCTTTCCAGGCCCTTAAGCTCCTCACGAACTTCCTTCGGTGTTGAATGATCAAAAAAATTGAGGGCGGCATCACTCTTCAGTATCATGCGCCTCGAATTTACCAGTGCTGGGTCTGAAAGGTGATTAAGTGCCCACGATGTCCCGAACGCCTTTTCGTATCTTTGCATCAAATCCGGGCTTAGCATAGAAGGCAGCATGCTGCTGAGAGCCATTTGCCACAGACCTCTACAATGGTCAACACACATAGATGTCTGAAACTCGACTTCACGCAGTCCTTCCGACAAACCGCCGTAGCCTCGACGTACGCCCAGCATTCCCATATTTCTCTCCACAAGTGGAGGTACTCGTAAAATATCTGAACCTCGTATGCGAATTTGAGTCTCCACTTCACGTAGGAGGGCTTCTTGCATATTTATTTTGATTGCTAGCCTTGGCTCCGCTTCTATGACAAGTTTTAGCTGGCCAAGCAAATCGTGCAGCTGCTCAAAGTCAACCGTAACGCCAAACCACACACCATGCTGTCTTCCGGGTGAACGATACAATAACCGCAAAAGAGACTTTTTCCCACCTTCCCAAAGGCGTTGAAGAGGCCCTTGGCGCCTCCGGTGGGCAGTTCTTGTAAAGAACAATGTTTGGCCGGCATCAGCTTTTAGTTTTCGAAGCGAGTCATTGACCAGGGTGAATACGGTGTCTTCAAGAGATTCTAGGTGCTTTTCCAGGACTAAGTAAGACTCTAATCCTTGAATTACGAGAGAATTAAGGCGGGCCCACCAGTCTGAAAGGTCAGGCAACGGGAGGCCGCTGAGGTCGACTTTGCTCCATGCTCTCTTGAACGTAGCAAAATCAGCATGCGATTCGAGTAATGTAGGCGCCAAGCCATGTGCGGCCCAAGCTCGGATCTGCTCGTCCATTCTGGCTGAAACTGGTTTGTCTTGTAGGCAGTGGGGCCGTTCTTCGCCAATGAGCCTTTTAAAGCCCCCCACAACTTTGTCGTGCTTCAGAGAATGAAAATTGATGACTTGCATAAGAGCAACGCTGTGAGCAGTGAAGTTAAATGGGCTCAAAAGTTTTTCGAAGAACGCAGCAGGCAACTTTTCCCTTAGAACTGCACACGCGCATGCAACAACGTGACCCGCACAAATCCGATGTCATTTAATAGGGGATAGGAGAGCTCCCCCCGGGCGAGATACAACGGAATCAAGCCTGCCAAGCCAAGTGCCGGATGTGTGGCTAAATTCTTCAATGGAGGCCGCCTACCTTTTCTGGCCTTCTGGATCCTAATTTCTCTTGTTCGTTTTATCATCCCTGCAGTGGACTTGAAAAATAAGTTCCTTACAAAGCCAGGGACAAACCCATGAGAGTAAAGTACCTTCACCCATGTAGGATTTCGGAAAACGGCCTCCTTTTGTTGCGGATACGCTGAAGTAACGTAAACAAGGAGATTCCACATGTTTTTTTATCAAGGCGAATTATTAGTGGCTCAGTTGTTCAACAGTCAAGCTGTTGACACTCGATTCGAATGCGACGTACCTTCCCGAGCACTCAGAAAAGCGAACAACCAGATGTGCGTTGGGCTTGGCAGTGGCGCAGCAAGTTCTGTAGCATTTTGTGCGAATGGCATGTCCCTGATAGCCAACATCAGCGGACTCCGGGTGTCTCCTACCATCATCTGGAGCGAGGAAAGGATTGTAGTCCGAGTACCTCCCTCTGACAAGGGGCTTGGAACTACGAGGAGGGTTGGCCACAAGCACACGATGAAAAAAGTCAGGAATGCCACTCGAAGGTGGGCGGCTCGACATAGATTGCAGAGTGTAGAAAGCTTACGAATGGCGTAGAGAGCGAGGGCTGCTCGCATTCCATCAGGAGCTGCTCGAAGGTCTTGTAGGCGATCAGCAGCGGCTTGCACTTCATCGTCTGAAATTTCACTACCAGAATTTCGCAACAGTCTTCTGCCAACGGAATCCATTCCCATGGGTCGTAGCACATGCAGAATATCTGCACAGCACAGTACACATTTGTCTCACACCGAACGGTGTGAAAAAGGGCGCGTGCCAATTTGCCGAATCCTCCTATAACCGCTAGCGGAGGCATCCAGTATATTCTAGGAGGGTCGCCAGCCTCAGCCACATACTTTTCTTGAAATCCTGTGCAGCCCTCTTCAAATTACGTTTTTCGAAGGCAAGCCAATAGCTTGACGCTGTAAATACACGCCACAAAAAATCAATAGGCAAATCAGTTGTAACTCAGGCTAATCCGGAAAAGGTAAAAAGCGCCCTATTGCGCTTGGGAACAACGTACCGGCGTCGAGGGACGAGGTTGTAAATAGTGTCGCTACTGCCACGTTCAGCCTCTCCATGACCAGCTCTCTGCCTGAAGACAGGTTGCACAATAATAACTGCACTCTGCAGCACTTGGCTGGTACAGTTATATCGTGCACTCCATTGCATGTATGAGTCTTACCTTGCTCAAGTTGTTGATTCATTGGACGTGGCTGCAGTCCCCAGTCAGTTCCTGTAAAGTTTCTCCCTTGGCCTGCAGATGGGGACGCAAGCATACCACCACATATAAAAAGGAAACGCAGGACAGGAGTAGCTTCAGTTTCAGGGACTCGAAGAAGCTTGCCATCGAGGTCTACACGAACGCAGTCTGCGGCTCACGAGAACTAATTTTGCAGTCCAAAGATCCTGCAAGAGAAGCACGCAGATGATGATGACGGCATTATACACAAAGCTAGCAGAAGATTCATTCTTCATGATGTTCAGCACGATGTAAATCACAGAATGCTTAGACGCCGCACCTAATCCGGAGATTGTCGTGTGTGCTTGTTTTAGCAATTCTGCCTGGGCGCTATGCCGAATTTGCTGGTCAGCATCATCTTCCAACTTCGTCAACTCCTGGCTGTCTTTGGCAAGACGAGATTCGTCGAAACTGCAGGGTATGTGAATGTAGCCCTCTTCGTTGGGCAAGCATGTTGCTGCATGCAAACGCTTCATGTTTTGGCTAGGAGAAATTCCAAGCTCGACAGGCACTCCCGCCTCTGCAAGAGCGGTCACGTGACCTGCGACGACTGCACATCAGCAATCAAATGACAAGACCATAATGCTGTGTTGAATATTTCCAGGTTAAACCTGACAAAAAGGAGCCAGCCAATCTAAAACGTGTCTGAGCTAGCTGGTACATTTTGACATACACTCGGCAAGAGAGGAGATAAGGCGATCCAACAGCTCGCACAGCGTGCGGTGGCTCGACTGCCTCAGCGACGAAACCCGTCGGTGCCTCCTCGTTTGTTGAAGTCCCTTTGGGCGTCTCCACTGGAAAAGTTTTTCAATTGGTGACCTGCGCTTTTGCACGGAGCACATCGCATCGATGTGGGAGCTGGTGTGCCCACTGAGGGATGTAAGCAAAGAATGCCAGGAGAAGAATGGCATGGTAACAGTCTCCTCTCCGAAGTAGAAGTCAAACCCGGTGTATGCGATCAGTAGGTTCCAGAAGAGACCGAGCACTAAAGAACAAAGATAGAATTTAACTAGACAGCAAATGAAAACCATAAGCTGAAGGCGCAGCATGGTCAGGAAATCCGTCTAGTTGCGAACTAAGGCTACTTTTACGAGCGACGATAAGAGAACTTACTGAAAGGATTATGGGCACCCACAATGGGTACCAAGGAACGCGGAAGCTGCAAACTACTTGGTTCTGGGTGTGCCTCTTGCTTCAGCATGCTGTGGTGGTGCACCTCATGGACGGCTGTCCGAGATCGCACAACCTGGGGGCTGATAGCGTCACCACCTAATACTACTCCAGCGATACTGCGCAATTTATCTAACAGCAATGCGTGCAAGCCGCCTTCTTGCGCTGCGGTGTCCAACCCATCCTGCAGCAGGCTACGGAGGAAGAATAACTGAGATTTGTGCGTTCCTGGAGGACTTCCTTCTTGTCCTGGAACGTCCGATTCCTTTAAAAGTTCAAGGAACTGCGCAGACCATTCTTCCACGCTAGGAGCAGCTGTAGGCACCTCGCCTCCGTAGAATGCCAACCAAAGCTCTGCAGGATGTCTCAACAGCACGTAAACCGAAAAATCTCAGACGTTGAAAGCAGCGGACTATAACGATTGATACCAATCAAGTGACACCTTACGACGCTCTAAATCCGTTTAGGGAAAGCTCGTTTAAGCCTCCAGAAAACACGCAATGTAGCCGTCTAGCATGTGAACTACAGTTCCAGGGATTCCGGCATAGACTCACTGTTTGCAGCTTCCTCGAGGCCATTGTCACGCAACATGAACTCCAGCTCCTCAATGTTTTGTTCCCGAGTTGGCGGCTGCGGTATGTCAAGGGCAAGACTATCCGCCGGACAAATACTGTCTAAGAAGCCTGCGTGCGGTCTCCAAGCACTTGGGCTTCCACTAGCCTTGAGGCCCTCTACTGTAGAATCTAAGGATAGTACAGTTGTGGAAAGATTAGTTGGTCCTTCAAGTCCATATTCTGGAGTCAACGAGAGGCTATTTGCCATCACTACCATCCTCCAGCTGTAGGGAGGCAAGGAGAGCAAAGTAGACAGCAAAAAGATACTGAATGCTCCCAACATTGTAGTCTTCACTTCTGGGACTCTCTGAGACACTGACAGAATTGTTGAGAGATCGGGGAGATTCAGCAGTCGAAGCATTGTCTTCCGGGGTAGCGGCTGCTGTATTCGTCAGCCTCATTTGACGGGTTCAAACCGGCAAGCGGAGCTTTTGCCGAAGTATCAAATTCTCACCAGAAGTAACCAAAGATGTACAGAAAGAATAGAAGGTACTTCAGAGTTGGAGCGGAAAGAGCCGTCAAACAGCCGCTGCTAGCTTCTTTCGGGCCGGCGTTGCCGAACGGCCATCGACGGAGGACACGGTTCTGCTGCTAGGCTCGATCGATCGTGTCGCCGCTTCTCGTGCACGTTCTTTTCCGCGAAGTCCTTTAAACGTAATTCACATCCTCTATGAATTAGAAAAGGACTTCTAAGATCATTTCAAGATGTGCAAGTGGTGTCGCTCGGATTGCCATCGTTTAACCTATATGGCCTCGACGCCCACTGGTGAGTCCGCTCATGTGACCCCGGCAGTGATGCATTACGGGGCACATGAACCCTTGATCCTTACAACGAAATACGTTTTACAGCATATTTGAAGCTCGAAATCCTTGCAGGCTACTGGAGACTCGTCCAATTTTTCATTACTTCCAGGCGCGAGAGCAGCATGATACAGCGCAACTGTTCGCGGTGCCTCCCACCGTAACGCAGTCGCCCAGTTTTGAGTGATTTTGCTTTCCAGTCCCGTTTCTATAGGGAGGCATCAATCCAACGAAAGAAAGTCAATGAACACGCACGCCTCGAAAGACCAACTAAGCACGCCTTCTACGCAAAACTCCACCGGTTGGCTACATTGCAGAACATATCTACGGCAAACGCAACTAAGTAGAGGGCATGCACTCCGTAATGGTAAAATACTGTTGGCGAAGCCGTCTGAACATGACTTCGCCTCCGTAACTTTGCCTAACTGGAGACGGGGAAAGTTCGTAACGAAGCTAATGCCTCTGCAGATCACTAGCCAAAATGAGTCTATCCTAGGCCGTAACTAATAGTGAGGCATTTGCCTCCTTCCGCAAAACCCTTCGACAGTAGAATACAACAATCCGGTTGTCATTACGCTCCTCATGAAACCAGTTAGCCGTTATTCACTTCATCGGCAGCTCAAGGGCTTCGAATCAGCCGTGTCCTCCTCATGCGAAACGGTGTTTTACCGGCAGCCACTAGACTAACCGCGCAGCAGGCGGCTGTGCCCAACCACCACCAGAACCAACGGCCTTGCTCCTCATTGCTGCATTCCATTTCCTCTTCGTAATTACCATGACGTGAGTTGACTCGCTTCTGTCTCCACGAATGGACGCACAGTGGGGTTCCTCTTGCCACTTCAGATAGTGACAGCACACCGAAGAGGAATGATGGACCAGACGGCCATATTTGGTGAGCTTCTTGGACCCTGCGACAATACTGCACCAGACTGCCTGCGTTCAAGAGCACCCTCTGCAGTTCTCGGCGATCTGAACAAACAGAGCACGCTTCACGGGCAACGGAATGCAAGTAACTGCAACTCACACGCTAATTGTAAGACCGGCAAAAAGTGTCCCACATTACAGCCAACTGTAGTTCGCAGAGTGTACATACCAGGCAACGGCAAGGAAAAGAGAATCGCCAAGTGCGCAAAAACCACAGCATCCAACGCATTAGTCGTGGAACCTCCGAAGAATGGCTTTCCCTGCAACAGCTGCTCGACAACACGAAGAGCCCGACGAACTCCGTCGACGGCCAGCAGCTCTTCCATTGTGAGTGCATCATGCGTTGCCCCACAATCGTCAAAACTGGGATACTGCCGTCTTAGGTCTTCCGGCAAAACACGGGGGCTACTGCAGTCGGCTGCGGCACCCCCCATGCTACGCCTCACCGCCCAACAGTAGTAGCTCCCATATACACGGCCGAAGGTGTTCTGAAGCAATGGCCTCGTGAAATTACGAAATGTGGCCTCGTCTTTCCACAGATAGAAGCGCTACACGTAGGACACGAGACAACACAGAACGCCAACGAGTGTTCGGCTTACTATAGCAAAACAACTGTTAGTCGCTGGCCTTTCGGGGGGCAGTCCTCTCCTCAAAAATATCACTATTACCAAACAGAAAAGTTGCTAAATGATCGATACAGGAACAGCACACCCCAGCATAGGATGTGAGTCACATGCTGGAAAAAGTCGTGTAGCTTACCAGTGCTCTTCCTACAGCCTGCTGCACCAATTCTGTAAGTGCAAATTCCGTAGCTTGTTCAACGGCGGCACGGGATCTGGTTCCGCAAGTGTTCATACAAAGAGGACACTTGCAAAAGCGTCCACCGCCCTTCAATTCACCCTCTGCCGTTACTGGTTCGCCACGCACACTTGCGCGGGCTTCTGCACAGCAGGCGGCCCCGCGCACCTCCTGCACACGGACGTGAGATTGCGCAAATGATCGAAGAGCCTCCAACAGTGAGCAGCCGCTCATCACCATGCCCGTCTTGGGATCTACAGCAGCGGGAAGTGCGGGGCCAGCAATCGCTAGAGGCAACCGTGACATAGATGGCACTCCACCGCACCAAGATAAATACGGGGGGGGAATCTGTTCCCACGTAAAAGAAAATGGAAAGCCGAACATCCGGTGCAGGCACAATGCTTCCAGAGTCTGCGGGCAAACGACCACTTCCCCTATGAGAGGGTCAACAGCTCGTGCTGCATGGATTTGAAACACGTAGGCGGGAACGCCGCAAGCGGCTTCTTCTACAACAGATGAAGCAGGTGCATGATTTCTACTAGTTGGCTTCTCTGAAGAAGTTGCTGAATCATTCGGGGGTCCACTCAAAACGTTTGCGTCCGAAGATGTGCCCTCCATCTCTCTGGACGTTGTTGACTGAGGAGGCAGCTGCACTCGACGTCCTTCAATTTTTCCATAAATATCATGCCGCAAACTTGAAAGACTTGCGTTGCCATTATTCGGCAGTTCGCCAGGCTGTTCCATTCTCTCCACTCACTCGTATGCTGTCTTGCCACTTAGCTCGGGGAACCCGTCAACACACCAGGAGGAATTACCTTCTCAGTGAGCTACACGAAGCACTGCTAGACAACTGAGATTCTCGTGGATCCGTGAGCATTTGGATGCCGACCTCTCCATGCCCTCTTAAAAAGTTGCCCGCAAACAGATGCTGCGCCCCACACAAGATTCGGTGGCATCCCAGAAGAAAGACGCAACGCGCTAGAGAGAAATCCTCCTTGAGAAAACCAGCCGTTTCGTCCCTCATGAACCGATGCTTGTGAACTGGTGCTGGCCAAACAACCCGGGGTCGGGATTTCTCGAGCACCTTTCTGGTCGGCAGTGCCCCAAGCACCACCAAATGAGTTATATCCATGCAACTAAGCCACGTACATAATTGTGACAATACAGAAAAACAGTTCTGGTAGAAAGGAACAGCCCCCCGCTGGGGTTTTTGGCGGTGGTGTCTCCGTTCACCTTCCAAGCTGCATGCACGCGCGTAGGGAAGAGAGGTGGTGGCGCCATATTAAGGTTATGCTTAGCTCAGGCAACACCACATGATAATAGAATTACCCGTTTTCAGCGTATTGAATCATGCTTGGCCTGTTTCTTCTCCCAAAGTGGCTAATAGGTGCTGAAAAGGCTAGAGCAAGTGAGTACGCTTATTGGATACGGTGGTGTGTGTGTCTGGATAGAACAATCCCCTCCGTGGACTTTAGTTTTCTCCGAGTGATACGGCGCTGCAATCAGTCCGAGGGGAAGATTTTTTCAACTGTGACACTCCAGGAGGAAGGCTTCCTTGCGATGGTGCGGCGGCTGGTGCGTTGGTGGTCACAGGCAAGTCGTATTCAGCGTTGCGGAAGATGGAGGCTCCCCCATCTCAACGCTACAGCGCGCATCTCATACGTTGCCTATTGTTGTAATTTTGGCGTCAGCTTGCCTAGTTTAGCGTCTTGGCGCTTGAACGCTAGCTGGCGGGCTTTGGGGGACCGCAATTTTGATCAGGGGCTCCAGAGTTCGCTACTCATATTTATTGCTTGGTCTCTGCTGCAACTCATTCCCTTGCAGTGGGGCGACGGTCGTCGATCGTAGCAACTGGACCATCCTGAGCTGCAAGAGAGTCGAACTACTTACGATAGAAGCTCCGCGAAAGCACCTTGCCTGAGTTTCAGTCTTCAATCGTCGTGGGCTAGGCTTCGCAAAGGCCTGGGGCCAGTGCGGAGAGCAGGCCGCTTGTCTTGAGTTGCAACGCACCTGGCTTCAACTCATGATGCAAAACAACCACAGATGCAGAGATACACAAGCCGCATTTCAGTTTTGCACTCAGATAGTAAGCAAGTCTTAATCACTTCCCTGGGCATCAGTAGCCGACCTGTCTGCAAATAGAAATGCACGCACCAACTTCGGACAGAACGAGATGCGTCTGAGCAGGCCTCTCACTAAACAGCAGAAGACCTTGTGTGACTGGCTAGAAAAAGATATATGGACAAAATGGATAGGTCCTGCCCCACTTATTGTTGCTACCTCGCGTGTTTTTTTTTCTGCTGCTTCATCACTTCGTACTGTTGCATCTATTGCTGCTGCGCCTCTTGCTATGTCGCCCCTCCCTGCTGATCTTGTGCTGCTGCATCACTTGCTGCTGCGCCTCTTGCTGTCAGAATTCGTGCGGATCACTTTGCAATTCCTTCTGCGGCTGCTCCTCGTGCTGCTTCTTGCTGCTGCCGCCTCCCCTGTGGCTTCGTACTCTTATACGCCCCGCCGTTGAGTCAAGAACAGCGTGCAGATTGTGCCAAGGTATACTCTCGCACGCTTTTCACTCTCAAAACCCAACTCATGTCGGATCATCTGCCGTTTGATGTGATATTCTCGTTTTTTGTGGCCAATGGGCGTCGTTCCACGACGCTTCTAGGGCACGCGTGCAACATGCCTTTGCACGCGCGCCCATGGGCTGAGTTTCCGCCAGTTGCTGCTTCTCGCAGGAGCGTTGTATCCGGGGAGGTTTTGAGATGATCTCGGTAAGAACCTAAAGCGTTTCAGAAAACCGGTAGACTGCTTCAGCGGCAGCTCCACATTGAGGGTAAGCCTAAAATGCACGTCACATAGTTGACCAGCGAGGAAACACAAAGGAGCTTAAAGCAAAACAAATTGCACATTTCCTCAGGTTCTCGCTCTCTGCGCGCTGCGCCGATTGCAAATCCACTAACGCCAAGCGTCGCTTGTTGTAGTTCCCTTCCTGGCGTTCTTGCTGTTTCGTTTTAAATTCCTGAGCTCGTGCTAGTTGCTTATGGAACTCGCCAGCTTTGGGTGTAGGGTGATGGCTTCCGACAGCCAAATCTGACGCTGAATCAGACGAAGACGTTTCGGTGTAGACCAGGGCGCCACGAGAGCACCGGAGCGAAGAATGTATTACTGTTTTGCAAACCAGCTCCGCACCAAGGAGGAAATCAGGCCACTATGTCAATTTTTGTGGGTGTAAAGTCGCAAATAGTGCACCAGCGTGCGGTTTATTCACTTTTGCCGTCTGTCTCGGGGTGGTTCGCTGTGGTTACGTTATGCTTCTAATGCTTCATGAATTCGTGCCAGAAGGCGCTAACGAAATTTGGACGTCTACAAGAAATGATGCATTTTGGAGAGACACGGACTTTCCAGGTATTATTCATGAATGATTGACGCGCTCCCCCTGTTGTCACTGAATTCGAACATGGGATGAATTAGGCAGAAGTACTGAGCCTAAGCACAACAACGAAATTGCTGTCACAGCCTCTAAGTGTTGGTAAATCCAGCGTGAAATCCACGGAGACGCCCATCCAAAATACGGTGAGGACCTGAAAAACTCGCGAAATTCCGTATTTGAGTGGTCCGAGGCGTTAATTATTGACACATTCTTGAAAACGGAAGAGACATTCCTCAGCTGAGGGGTGCATCGTTGTTCGTTAAACCGACCTGGCTGCCAGCTGAGCTGTTGTGCTGACCCCATCATGACCTGCAAATACATATTGGGCACTCTGCGCAAAGCTCCTATTCGAAGCGAAGCTGGGAGGCACACGTGGCGGAGTCCAAACAATTCGTTCTTTGGAGGCATCGGGGTCCACTCTGATTTTCTTCAGACGCTCCCCGTCGTCAGAGAATTTAGGGAGAGTATCTAGACAGATCTCTACCCCGTTTTCGCAAAACCATTTTATGACGGATTAGTGCTATGCATCAGGTCGCTTGGCTGTGGGGGTAGAGTTCGCGGCTCACAACTGCCGTTCTCAGCTGTGCAGCGCTACCCACCCTAAGGACAGTGCTCGAGCGTTGCGGAGGACGGTAGCGAACCGCAATCCAGTCAATAGGCTGGAAATGTGCGCTCCTAAAAAGCTTCTTACCTCCACTCCAGTCTCCAGGGGTCCGGAATAAGTGGCCCAAGGGCCTGGGGCTGGCGAAGAGGAGAGCTGGCCTAAAATGATCAACAGCAAGCCTTGCTGCAATTCTGCCTCAAGGCAACCTCAGATGCAAGTATACTGAAACGGTCTTAGTTGCATGCACCAATGCAGACTATTCTTAAACTATTCCTCTCCCCCCAGTAGCCAGCCTGCACGTGACGAGGATACGTACCAACTTCAGACACCGTAGGCAAACAGTAAGTCGAAATGCTCAAGCAACCTATTGTGAAATACCTCCTGGCAATCGCTCCAAAAAGAAAGCTCCCTAACGTTAAGCATTAGAACACCAAACAATTTCTAACTCTCTAATATCCACGCTTTCCTCACATTTGCTGGGTGTAGTGTTAAGGCGATCTGGGGCTGCGGCGAGGGCATGTCTCTACGTGGATTGATTACCGGCTTTATTATCTGCAACTACTACCTGATCACCAACGAAACAGAATATAAACGGTCTATAATGTGTCATTGAGGACAGTCGGAGGACCCACTGACTAGAAAGCCTCTAATGCGTCTGTTCAACTGCAGATAGGCAAAAAGCAGTTACTTACGCGGAGTCCCAACTAACAGGACAAGGAACAACACAGCTTCTGAAGGCCTGCAGATTTTTGTGCAATCATCCATTTTAGGAAAAGAAAGAAGGCGAGGGAAGACACCGATGTGGGGTTGTCGGGATGAGGGTCACCCGGAATCCCCTCCCTAGCTAATGTGCTCTCCGGGAGCGGAAACACCAGCGTTCCCCTCATTGTGCCGCATAGCATATTATTCCACTGCACTCTTCAGGATTAGTGAGCTCGGTGCAAGCTGTTCCTCAACCTTTCAACTGTTGTGGATGGCCAAACTTCCAATTTGCCTGCATTTGGCCGCGATGGAAGTTACCTGCGTTCAGGCGCCCTAAACAACAGAGACGAGACTAGGAAAGTGGTAGTTCTTTTGCCGCAGAGGGGCGACCCGTGGTACAGGTATCGATTTTGTCTGCATTGCGTAGCCTCCGGACCACAACGGCCGCTTGAAAAATTGTTCACGGAGAAACTGAAATGTCAGTTGTGCTGCACATGCTTTCCTCTATTCGCCCGCCTTCCATACAGCTGCATCAAATGTAGTACGGGTTCACCAATAAAGTGAAGAAAACTTTTACGACGATGTCGGAAAGGGCGCGCTATCATCCTCCCTTCACCGTTCTCGCTTCTTGGCTTCGGTACATCCTACCGGGACTCTTCTGTTCAGCATTGCTCAACATCACCACAGAAGGTAAGTCATGCAATCCACACTAAATCCTGCCAGCGACAGTTTTTGGTTACTCTAGTCCTGAGGTGTCAACCCAACCAGGGAGAAGTGTTTCGGCAGCACAGCGAACAGCCCCTACCTACCCATGGAGCCTTTTCAATCGAGTGGCTCTCCTGCGTCTACTGTGCATTGTGTGTGCCCGTGTGACTGTCACTTCAGCTGTGCATGCATTCACAGCAACGGCCACACTGACTGGGGCGCACCTACCTGGTCCAGGCAAAGCTCTGGCACAGCTTCCCCTTTCAGGAGCTGAACTCTACATTTTACCTCTATGTGAGTGCACGGGACTGCGTTATGCGGCTATGCAAGGATCTTCATGCTCCTTAGGGGCCACAGTAGAGTCGACTGACCTCTGCTTCGTTCCTCGATCGTATTGTGCTTCTGTGGAGCCTGCGGAAATGGTTGATGGGGCTAGTTTCACTAGTTCTACTATTTGGGAGGAAATCCAGGAGTCTGCCGACTTTTTTGAAAGGACTTTGCCCAAGGCCACAATAGCATCATGCCGTTGTTGGCCCCTTGGAGATGTTATGGTAGCACCGTGCGGCCAGCAGGTGCATCAGCAGACCCGAACTGCCAAGAAATCTTTTCCTGGTACCGATAGACCTGCAGATGCTTCAGGATCTTTGAACACTGACTCTATGTCAAAAATAGTCTGGGCACTGAAGGGACATTCAGAACACCTGCCGAACTTGAAATCACAAGTTTTTGCCCCCGCCAAGCTCCCAGGCTCAAACTTTCACCGCAGGCTATTCCACAGATTTGTTCAGGCAGCGGGCTTTCACCAATTTAACACAAAGTGGGCTCGCCGTTTGGCTACAGAGAAGGCGATCACGGGCAGTAAGCCCAGATCGGGAGGTGCAGTCGAGCATTCGAGAGCTCGGTGTCACAAGAGCTGCCAAAGCTGCTTAGAGCCCGGTCGTGACCGCTGCCGCACATGCCCCAACCAATTGCCTTACCCATACCTTCCACCAAAGCCTAGGTCGCCCTCGTCATCCACTGACGAGCTTCATCTCGGCATGCTTGACTCTCAGCTCCATGAAGTGCAATACCATGCCCTCGTAGCCGCCCATCGAGACGGTAGTGGTTATTGCATTCCGTTGGAATTTGGGGACAACAGGCTTGCGGCTGCAGATCCGGAGTGCGTCTCATCTGGGTTGTCGTGCATTGTGGCAAATTTGAGAGCATCATGGGGGGCATTTGGTGACACTTGGAATTCCAGGAAAACAAGCCATTGCCACTCAACGTGTTCTGCTTGTCGCGCCGATTGTTGCCGTGGAAAGGCTGACAATTGCCTAGCCTGCAAAGGCTCACGCCAAGCCTTCCATCCACTCTACCGAGATGGTACGGGACGGTGTTTAGATTTAACTCTTTCCGATGAAGAATTGCCTGCGACGGGGTGGGACCAGCAAGGCACCGTTGAAGGGACACCAGTGCTGCAAGAACATCAAAACAACACCTCGAAAAGGGAGGATACAAGCAGCTTTTCTGCTCTTCTTCAATCCATAGTCAATGTTGCCTCTTCCGTACCTGCTGGGCGCGTCATAGGGGATCCAGAGGTGGCAGCCTCAATCAAAAACGGAGCAACTAGAACTGGCCCTTCCTTCCTTCCGCGACGTTCTCTCTGCGAATCCTTGCCCCGAAAAATTGGCGACATGCCAATTCGTGCCTGGTCTCAGCTCATGTTTGTTCATGCAGACAATAACTTGGAAGAGTCTGCCTTACTGGACTTGGAAGAGATGCTGCACCCATGGAGGGGTGAGATAGTGAAACGGCATGCTCGGGCTGCTTTGCGAGGGAGAGGCACACCGCCGTTACCAGTTGGCGGCTCTGCGCTGAGCGGCTTAACTTCTCAAGAGGCTCTCGAAGACCTCTACCTGGTCGTACTCATAGATCGGAGCAACCAAACGAATTCAACAGAAATGGGAACAGTGCATGCGTGTCCTGAGTTGGAGTATTCAAATCTAGGTGAAGGCGTCAAACAGCTACCAGGTACAAGTGAAGTTGAGTTGAATACGCAAATGGCATTCGAATTGCTACGGGTTCACTTGCAGGACGGCAGGCGTGAATGGCTCCTACTCCGCAGTCTCGGAGAGGTGGGTAAGCAGCTGATATGCGCCAAAACCCATTTAACAAAAATATTGTTCCATGTCTAGCATCATCGTTGTATCGCCAGCAGCGGGCCCCTACATACAGCCTTGTGCTGGGTAGTGAGGACCTTTAGCTTTTGCTCGTTCTGTGAAAAAAAGCGGTGATAGCGAGCTGAGCATCAACCTTCCGTTGCAATGAATTCCGCATTTGGAGAGGACGTCACACTTTGAAATATGAACATAGAGAAGAAGCCAATTGCCTCTCGCACTCGCAATACACCTTGTTCTGCAGGTAGATATGAATGACCCTGGAGTTTTGGGGACTGCAGTGACACGTTTCTTGGACATATTTCCATCGCGGCACTATGCCGTAGTTCTTTGGAACCACGGTTCGGCCTGGGCCGGGTTTGGCGACGACGAAAGTAACCCGAACAGCCAGCCTATGAGCATTCATGATATTGCTGTTGGACTTAAGAAGTAAGTTCCTGTCTCGTAAGGGGGCGTTTACTATGGATTCGACATTAGTTGTCTTTTTCTCTGACAGATGTCTGGGACACTTTTCGCAGTGGTATTTCGAGGAGTAAACTAGGAAAGGTGGATCGCTCTTTTCGCCTTTCACTCCTTGGCTTCGATGCCTGCCTAATGGGTTCATACGATGTTTTGGAAGCTCTCGCCCCGCTGACGCATTTCTTCCTAGCCAGCGAGGAAAACGAGCCCGGCCATGGGTGGAACTATAGGCACGTCTGTTGCCAATAACTGTCGTAGACTAAAGCGTCTTCACACATGGCCGAGCTTACACGTCACAGCCCATGACTCTGATCGGTTGCGTTTGAAACAGCATTGCGATTCCTAGCCCAGAATATTTCTTGTATACGGTTATCACTCTGCTTCTCAACTTGTCGATCAGGTCCATGGACCCTACCTCTCTCATCCGCAAACCACCCCCTCCTTACCGGACGGCTACAGCATTCGAATACGGCACTAGGTTCGTGGCGAGCTATGGCCTTCACCCACCGTCGTCCAATGCGCTGACACTTTCACTCATCGAAGTTCGAGCATTCAATGAATTCAAGAAAAAGTTCGAAGAGCTGCTAGAGGTGCGCATTGAAGGGTTTCCATGGTGCCCCGAATGATGCATGTCGTTTTTCAAATTAGCAAGTATGCAAAGCCTTTAACAGTCAACGACAGAAATGGGGGTCTCCAGGTGCAGGCATTGATGCTTCCACTAATCTTCGCATAAAGAGCCAGCCGCAGATATGTTGCAGCAAGCTGCTGCGGAGCGGGTGTACTCTTCAAAGTCGTGCGTACGGTTTGTTTGCCGACATTTCTGCTGGCTAACCGCTGCTTTGATTGTCCGCCGTCTGGATCAGGGTCTGTATTCTTGCGGGGGAAGCAACATTACACGTCGGGTAAGGCGAGCCCTTTCCCAGACCTTCAGCATTAGGGGTTGCCGAATGCTGGGCTTATGCAGCTGCTATGACTTGAACGATTTCCTCGCGAGCCTGTTGCAGCAGTTTGCTAGCGATGAACAAGAAATGGGAAGGATCAGCATTCAATCGCGGACACAGGAAGAAGAAAGTTCGTGGGCTTTTAACAACTTGAAGCTTCCCAACCCACTAAGTACGCAGCATCGACAATTGCAACAATGGACTAAGCAAAGATACACGGTGAATGCCTTCGGTGCGGCGCAACGAGCTTTGACGGACAAGGTTGTCGCGGCGAGAGTCCTCTTTAGGAAAATGATTGTGGCTGAGGTTGGTAGCAGGGAGCCCGGCAGATATGGCGGATTGAGCATATACTTTCCTGATCCAAACATGGCTGTGAGTCCTGACCCTATAAGGAGCAAGAATCCCACACCTTTCAATGCATTTCTAATTCCATGACGGCGAGTTCGTATGCCAATTACCCTAGGCGCTGTAGCCTACGTATCTGAAGGCCTGCGCTTATTCACGGCTAGTTTCTCTCTCCGGCGCCGCCTACTGGGTGCGCTACATCTGGTGTACTTGTGCGCCTAACTCAACTCAGCGTGCAACAATAACATTCCGATAAACTAAATGTGACTCCCTGTTCACACACTAGACTGACTATTCTTTGCCAACGGAAATTGTGATCTTCTTGCTATTGGGTAGGTCAATTGTAAGACACATCGCAATGCGACCAGCTGGGCTCGCCGCTACACCAGTACCATCCGCACAAAGTTTTCTTTCTTCGTTACATCCGTGCTATCGAATAGGAAAGGCAGTGTCTGCTATTCCCCGTGGGGGGGGTCTGGTGGAACGGGACGGGACAGCACAAGCCCATTGCCCCAGCAAGCCGCAGAAGCTTCGCAGTGGTTCGGAGTCCTCTGCAGCCGGATTCTCAAGCCATTCCCACAAAAAGATTCACTAGTAGCTGCCGGGATCTCAGCCGTTGTCCCAGTCACCGTTGTTTCAGCCATGATGTTTAGAGGTGCGTCCTACTGCCCTTCTGCCGTGTGCAGCCTGTCAGTGATAGCCACACCTTTGCTGACCTATGCGCCAAAAGTGGAGCTTGCCTGTTTGCAACCTGAGTAGTCTGTTAACTTCGGGAGATCCGTGGACAGGAAATATGGGTACATGGCAAATACCGTTTGCTCCGCTGCTGCAATTGAGAAAACATCTGCTCACAAATGTGCAAGCACACCTGCAGAATGCGGAAGCAGTGTTTTTCCTGTGAGGGTATCTTCACAGTTTCTTTCCGATGTTTGGTACTGTGCCACGCCACCTACAGGATTTGCATCAAGTATCCTCAAGGCTGATCAGCAAGAAATAATTGTAACAGGCACAGCGCAAGCAACTATGACTGATGCGGAGGTTAAAAGTTTTTCCGTTCCGCTGAATTTCGGCGAAGTGCCTATCGAAATTCAACAGGTCAATAGCCGCTCAGGAGACGTAGCTGGAAAGAAGGGCTCACAAACAGGGCGAGAAGAAGCAGACCCAGTTGCTGCTCTTCGGGAATTCACAGTAGTGCAGGGTTGGTGGGATACTCACGTCTGGATACTGAAGCAGGAGCTGCGCTTAGACGATGCCCTAAAAGACCCCAGACCCCCAGGACAAAGGCTAGGAAGTTCTGGAAGAGTTGAAGCAGTTGTGGTTGCGATTCAGGAGGGGTCGGAGTCGTCTCGGCTTGGCGCAGGAAGGGTAGGCCTTCAGCATGCACTTTGCATCACTCTAGACGACCCGGGTTTCTGCATTGTCCGCCAGGGGTTTCTACATTATTGGTTCAGTTCGACAATTGCCTCTCCACCGCATTTCGGCTGCTTGGCTGCGCTTTAGGCAACAACCTTTAGCTTTCCATTCCTTTTTTTCAAAGATGCACTGGCTGCCGAATGTTTGAAAGACCCTATATTGCACACAGAGACTTTGGATCGGCGCGAGAACTTTCCAAACAGTTTGGAAACCCGTCCCTCTGCAAACGAACCAACAGAGCACCGCCAAACAGTTTCCCCCGGTCTTGAAAAGCGCACCCTGCAGGGCCTTCACCATGTTTCCACCAAAGGTCTAAATGCCGGCGAAACAATTGTGAAGCGCCGGGTCCTGTCTACTCTTGTTCTGCCACTGGGAGTGCCAGCGAAGAATAACGGAGGTCTCGAGATCCCCAGCTTTCAGCCACGAACATCGGGAATCGCCATAGAAACACCATTCTCAGAGACGCTCGGGAATCGCGAGCCAGGCACAGAGTATGCATCGAGAGAAAGAGATTATGACCAGGTGAGTCTGCGCCAACTCTCTAGCAAGAGAGTTGGATCGCCGTCTTGGTTGATTCACGAGCGTCTGGGACGAGAGCCGCAAAGGCAGGAAGGAACGAAGCACCAATGTGGAGCAAGAGCCTTTCTATTGGCCTCCTGGGATGAAGGGAAAACAGTGTCGAGCGAGCTGGTGAGGATTTCTAGGAATACTCAGTCTGCAGCGCCTCCAAGTACACGGTACTATCCACTGCATCATATGCATATATTTCAACTTCGGTTGAAATTCCAGTCACTTCCCGACCCGGTGCTACAGTCATGCGTTGTATTGGATGATATTACTAATATGCGCAGGTCCTGTACGTGGTAGAGAACGAGCAAACAACAGAGTGGCCTCGCTCAAGAGGAGGCTTGCTAGTGCCAATAGAGCATCGCCTCCGGAGGACCACTCTTTCTTACGAAGGTTTTCCGACCTCCCAGCCAGTGGTATGGACTGACTGCGTTGCGAAACAATAGTGCCAATGGTGCAGTATCGACCAGAAGCATTTTTCAGTTCAGGGAAATGCCTGATCACGTGTGTAGCGCTCCTGTTACACCGGTGCAGGGTGGAGACGGGCACAAGAGAAATCATATCAGACGTCCTGTATCCAGCTGGGACTCGGCGCAGCGACAAAGTACGAGCCGTGTCGCGAATAACAGGTTTTCTACATTGAGCTCTGAAAAGGGTACAGCCTTCAGCCGTCCTTCACCTACTGAGGAAACTGGCATTCATGATGCCAACTATGGAGGAGAGCGGAACCGCCAGACTCCACAAGCGAACGTCGCAGCTGTCGTCCTTGAGGAGTCTGTAGGAGACGTCACCTTCTTCTGGAACGTAGAATCTGACGTGGGCAAACTCTACCTTCAGCCGGCTAGTATCTCAACAATTCTTCGTGAACGTCGGGCGAAAATCGGTATCTCCGGTCTTCAAGAGCCAAGCGTTGAAAGGGTACGAACTTCATTTGGACACACCTCCCTGGGAAATCATTGCTTTGCATCTCTTCCAACCACGTTTTGGCGGCGGACGGGCGGAGTGATAATTTGCGTCTGTTCCGTGCAGGCGGTTGTTGGTTTCATTGCGCAAGACGTACTCGACCAGAGAGCTGTGGCAGCCAGCTCAGTGCCCATAGTTGAGCCAAAGCCTATAGCAGCCCACAGTATTTGGGAGTCAATAGGGCAATCTCTTGGCTTTGGTGACTTTGCCACGGGCGACGCAGAGGCTTCGAGTAATTTTTCGTCCCCTTCGACGTGCCAGTCTCACTGGCTAGGGGACGGCATATGCGATGAGCTGTGTGATACTGCAGTGTAAGCATTCTGTGGTCACCAAAGACAGAATTTCTTCGCCACATCCAGAATTATCAGCAGGCTGCTAAATTGAAATGCATCGTTGGTTGCCTTTCCATGCACATCCGAGGAGAATAAGGTCATCATCTGTGAACGCCTGACGTGGAAAGTTTGCCGCAGGTATGGATTTGATCGCGGTGACTGCCCGCACCGAAACGCTGCTGCAGAACATCTTCTCGAGCAGCAAGAAGTGAGATGCACTGACACCTGTTCATCCGCATATGCGCACCGTGCGTGGATCACTAAGAGGAAGCGCAGGGAGGACACGGAGAGCTCTGGATGAAGCCTAGATGTCTTCTGATGCCTCCTTGTATGCGATGCGCAACATGCCTGCAATTGCAGCCAAAGGGAGCCTGCGTGGGAAATCGATGCTCTCAAATAGCTCTTTGTGAAGCGTACGAAGACACTTCTCACGGGAGAGGGATCCACCAATCTGAGAACCAGCCACACAAAGCAAAGGGAGCCAGACGAGAGGAAGCAGAGGAGAGCGCCATGAAGCCCAGCTCGCAGGCGAGATGCCACGACCAGCCTTTTCATTTCTTCTCAATAGTCTACTTTTATCCGCTTTGCAGGCTCCAGCGTAGTAATAGAAGGCACAACTGCCAAGGAGCTTGTCACTGCGTTTGAGCTGTAAAACCTGCTCCGCAGCTTTCTCTGTTCAGTTTCCACACTCTGATGGCCTTCTGATATGGACAGCCACGTAGAACTATTTGAAATATATTCATTAGTGACTTCTTCGTGCTCACCCCTGGCTGGTTTTCTCAGGAATCACCTCTAGTAGCAACAATATGGGAAGGCCCGAGAGGACGTTACGTGTGCAGGTGAGTCTTGCCAAAATGCACATAAACCTCACCGTTGGGGTACGATGCAGAACCCATGAAACGAAGCTAGTTGTCGGTCACTTCTAAGATAAAGGTGGGCTTGTGGATTTATATGAGTAGTACACACAAGTAGTCGCACTACCGTTCTGCGCATCTACTTGCCCTTACAGATGCCCCAAAGGCTATACTGGAGATGGAACCAGCTGCGAAGACATCAACGAGTGTGAAGTCTTTGCAGGGTCTATATGCCACAGCAAGGCCGTTTGCATTAATACAAAGGGAAGCTATAGGTGCATATGCAAAGTACGCAGCCACCTGCTATCTTTACATCCTGTTGCGGGCGAAGCCAGCATTGACGAGCTGGGAGCATACGTCTGACGCACTGCCCGCTAGTGGGAGCAAGTAGTTTTTGTCTTTTGCGCAATGATAATAACGAGCTTCTATACTTGCACCATGGACCACACTTTACACGCGCAGTTTCTGTTACTGTGCCGCATGTGACAGCCTGGATACAGCGGCGACGGCAGGGATGTCTGCATGTACGTCCCCCTCTTCAGTCAGCCAATATTCAGTTTTGTTAAGGAAGCAACTTGGTGTCTAGATACCCGGCATTCCCAGGGACAACAGAATTTCTCTGTCCCTGACAGCGCACCGTTTTCAACGAAATTCATTATAAAAGATACGGGATGCGTTAGCGCAGGTCTTCCCTGGATTTCAACAGCAGGAAAAAGTACTAAAAGTGGGTAAAGCGCGTGTGAGACGTTGTGGTGCATCTTCAGGCTCACCAGCCACGGCCACAGGTACGGCATTTACACCATCAACCGGAGAAATGAGCCAACTGCGGCTGCATGCATCGTACAAGCTCCTTGGCACAGGGTCTCGTGTCGCGGCACGCAGTTGGAGTGTCATTGCGCATCCATAAGCTATAAAAATGAGTTGCTTTTCCTGGCTTGTGACAGCCCTCCAGAGCGCCGTTGTGTAGATGCAAACAACCGCCCACTATGTCCTCCTTCCCTCCACTGCCTGGACGATGGGTCGTGCGGCTGTCGCGAAGGGTTCATCATGGACAAGTAAGGTTTGCATGCAGTACTCAGAGACCAAGAACTGCTAATAGGATGCACCCTAGCGAGAGAGGGAGAGCAGAAAAGCCTGTGCATGTGAAAAGCTCCTTTTTCAACAGACTAATTTTAACTGACGAAAACGAGCCCGTCGCTGTATGCGGCTGAGCAGCGGAGGCTGTGTTGATGTTGATGAATGCTCCACCGGCCTTGCAAGCTGCGCGCCTCCATCCGTTGCAACCTGCGTCAACACCAGCGGAGGATACTTCTGCAGCTGCGTCGATGGCTATGAAGGCGACGGCCGTCAGTGCGTTGCCAGCCCCTGCACAGCTGAGGCAGAGATTTCGATTGCCATGGACTATCACAAAACCATTGCAGCTGCAGGAGGGAAGGAAATGCTTAAAGAGGCTTTGATCGATGCCATATTGCAAGTAAGTTGGGACCACATACTTGTCACGCCATGGGTGCCTTGGAACCTTAGCGACCACAGTCGTCATTAGCAGGATGGTTCCCGACCCAGGATCGTGTGCTCTGCTTCTCGTAAGGCAGAGACAAATGCTTCCAAATATTTGTCTCCTTCGCTGGAAAGAAATATCGATTTTCCAGTTCTGAAACTTCTGTCCCATGGCTGTGTCGTTCGAACGCAACTTGCGTATATCCGCATTTGGCGCTGCAGGCAATCCCAGCTCTGGGTGATCGGAAGCGCATTGAGATCCCTAGCATTTATGAAGGAAGCATCAATGCTGCGATTAGGATTCATCCCCCAACAGCAGACGGAGCGTCTTATCCAGACGGGTCGGACAATCTACGGCAGCTTACAGCAGCTGAAGTTCTCCTGGCACTTCAAGAACAACTCGCAGAGCCATTGTCGTCCCTCAGAACTGGGCCATTCGGAGAGTACGCCTCCTACACTACGATTGGTGAGAAAGCAAATAGATATGCTTCGTCGGGAAGAACAGCACCGGCTCCGGATGGAGACATCCAGGGCGTAGTTTTTGTCGAGGGCTGCTTTTCATTGATGGACATATCCTTTCCGCGCACTTGTGCGAAATGCGTGTATGTCTAGAAAGGTACACGTTCTTCGACCGTTCAGCAGCGAAGCAAAAGTTTGAACTGCTTGCATTCCTGACTGATTGGTTGCCTGAGTGGCTGACAGATGCAGTTCCGAAGGAGCTGATTGCAGCAGTGGAGATACTGGTGCTGCTCATGTGCATTACCGCACTGTGTATGGGCATACGACGCATACTAAAGAGGTGCGGTTGCACTTTTTTCCAGTTGGAATTCCGCAGAACTTGGTTAGAACAGTTTGCTCTGCTGCACGGCATGTCTATTAGTGGTGTGGTGCCTATATGCCTTCCAACTCAGACGCATTCGAGTTGTTGTACTTAACACGCGAAACGACGTCTTCTGCAGCAATAGCAGCCAACCGCATGCAGGTAGTTGTGAGCAGGCCTGCTCTCCTGTCTTGTGCATTGGCAGGTCAACAAGGCGACAGTCTGCTGCGCTTCTCTTGAGCAGACGCTTTTGACTCAGCCATGGTTTTTCCACGCGCTCAGCCACACCAACGGTTGGTATTTGCCCACAAGCAACATGATCAAGCATCACCACCATTTGTTTGAGAGCTGCTAGCCATTAAATGCAACTCCATCTGTTGGATACATACAATCGCTTGACTACCGGTGCATTTTCAATTCCATGCAGCCGTCTGTATTATTGGGAGATGACTACGCTTTGGCCTTTTTGCAAGAGGCATTCATCAAGTGCCTGCCAGTCGCCCTTCAGGCCGTTGCTGGGAAGGCTTAGGCTTCCAGGCTTAGTTCATCTCAACTTCCAGTGAAGAAGTAGGGCGATGCTGGAGTGCGAGTTTTTTTATCGTAAGGACGATCTTGGCTCATTGCAAAGAAGATGCCCGTTGGCAGCCAACGGAGTTCCAGGCAGTCGGGTGCAATTGGGGAACCCTAGCCAGCAACAGAATAGGGGAGTTTCTGAGGAAGCAATAGCTTGGTCAAGCTGCTAGCAGGCCAGTTGGAGTTGACAGCAGCCAGCGGAAGTCTTTTCGTTTGAGTGAGCCCTCCACCACTGCTGAGGAATGGGTCCTCCGTTGCGAACATTCTTCAGCTTAAATTAAAGGGTAGTATTCCTAGTTCATGCATAATATGCCACCGCGGATCGATTTAGTAGGTCGTCTGCAGCTACCCACAGCAGGCTGAGAAAGGACGGCGGGCTGTAGTAGGTCACCACCAACTACCTAGAGAGCTCGCGCTCAGTTGAAGCAAAATGCGTTCCAACAACAGAAAAATATGTACACAAAGCCTATAAAGCCAGGTTGTGTGGGACTTGGTGGGTTCATCAATCTCACAATGAAAAGAGCACTTAGTTAGTGTGTAAGATAGTCTTACGTAGCTAGGAGTACGCGGATGGTATAGGAACTGCCAGGCCTCAGCTAGCTGCATACGCCGTAGGAACGGTCAGGCCTCAGCAGGCTGCATACCCTTCTCTGCCTCAGCAACGATTGGTTTTCCAGTTGTTGATGGCTACCTTTTACTGCTTGAAGGGTACAGGATACTGATGCGCAGGTAGTCCACGAAGGCCGTCCTCAGCGCATCCCTTTTGCCTATCTAGTCTCCAACTAAAGGAACAGTAGCGCAGAGAATGAAGGGGGCTCAAGGCATATATAAAGATATTGAGAAAATCGCAGAAGCCCCATGAATGTTATGGACTTTGAAGGTCTCCAGTCAAAGTGCCGCTGATTTTTGTCGACAATCGCTTGTACAAGCAGCGTGCTTTAGAACATAGTCTGCATTTTCCTGGTTTTCGGAAAGCCATGAGACCTATGCTTCAACTCCCCGTGCACTTATTCACTATTCACTGAGGGCACCACGGCGGTATGATCCGGCCAAACCGGTCTTACTGTGGCCCCTCATACGAAAGCCTCTGACCCACCCTTTACGAACGCAACAAGTGCAGATGCGTCAGAGTGGCGTCCTCCTTAAGATGCGCAGAATGCAACATATGAAAGATGTACAACCTGGAGACCAGCTGTCACAGCAAGGTCTCCCCGTTTGGCATTGCACGTGAGCAGCCACATTGTCTATGTGTCTGGAAACAATATACATTGCTCACTGGCAATGCACAGGGCTGCGCATCCTCTCTAGTGAGCCATCTCCAGCCACCTTTTTGCAGCCACCTGGGTGAATTGTCTGCTTGCTGTGGAAAGCTGGCTATTGCCAACAACAATTGCGTTCCCACAATTACCCGTTCCCACACCAAAGGGCATATGCCTGCACGTCCTGTTCTGTAGGAGACTCGCAAAAAACAAAATGGAGTGGGTAGCCTCGAAATGTAAACTACCTGAGACCCAGGGGGGCATGCAGACGAAGATAAAAATGAACAGAGAGGGGCAGTGCACCATTTCGACTCAATGCACATTGGACACTTGCAAAGAGTATTGCAGCGCAACAGCGTAACTAAGGGAAAGCTTCCCCATCTGGCTGTCCTGCGCATTATCTTAAATGGTATTTACGTGTAGTATGGATGTCAAGATCAACCAAAAATGTAATGAAATTGGCCCAGTCATCCCACTTACAAGCGTTTCTCCTATAAACGTGAAGGAAGAGGAAAGTTATGGGGAAAGTAGGCAATCTGAGAATTTGGAGAAGGCCAGCGAAGGAAAGCCATTTTTCGTTGCTGTTTCAGTGGCTAGGTGCCGGTAGGGGTACTACGTATGTATGTTGGTACGACGTATGTCTCTAGTTTGATTTTCATCTTTCCCATGTGTGAGGGAGGAGGAATTTACATAAATTTGCGGCTTACGTTGAACGTCTACCGAAGAAGTCAAATGGGTCACTCAGATTTTTGGCCCTGTCAAATGCATCCGTGTTAGCGCCGCACGGGCATTTAACAAGTGGATGCTGAGCAAGCAGTTTGTGAGCAGACTGGGGAGATCAACTCATGGATGGTGAGCAAGCATCTTCGGTTTCATGCCAGGTTAGGCGTAGGATGCAAGGTGCGGAGGCCTAGGCAGTTGCAATGTATTTCCGCCGCACTACGGTTTTGCTTGATGCCATGTAATACAATACGGGCTAAACCTTAACCCCAAGCACCGCTTACGGATTCGAACAACTGTGCGGTGGTGATCGGCTTGTATTTTTGTTAGCCTAGATTGTTTTGTGTTGCTGCCAGCCCTAGTTTCCGAAGCGGAGAGACTAGGTGAGGACTCACTTTGCTGCCTTTGCTAGTTTCCCTGCCACCGAAATATCGTTGGATTCTGCACTACTATTTGGGCTAACTGTTAGACTGTGGCCGAATTATGTGGAAGCGGAGAGCGGAGGTTCTATGCCAGGCAGACGCTTACGAGGCTTCCGTGTTGCGTCAACTGCATCTAGAGGCTCTTTGGTAGCTTCGCGATTTCATCAAGTTTATCAGTCGATCCGCTAGGTTCTATTGATGCAGCACCGGCGGTGTCAAGCGATGCATTCAAAAGTTTCCCAGTGCTAACGAAAAACAAGTCGAATCAGGAAAAGAGGTGTGTTGCCTGCAGCCGCCTCCATTTTGCTTGCATCTGGTTGTTATCGAGGAGGGAACCAAAACTGTAATGCCAATGGCAGTGGATTATCAATATTCAAGTCCGCCTATCCTCTGCAGCGTGCATTACATGCATACCATTTGCAGATTCTGTTTGCAGATGCAGCTACGGGTAGAGCTCTGAATGGCATGGGCCTTTGCAAGAACCGTTTTTTTCATTTCTCCTGAGAAACCTAAGGCGGTCAACTGCACTCCATCGTCACCCTTAAACATACCTTCTTTAAAAGGTTCTTTTGGTTCCCCTTCCCATCCTTCCTCGTCTTCCAGAGTGCTACTGGCTGCACTGTCGTCCTACAGAGCGTTTTGGGTCTAGCGCCCTAAAGGCGAACAACAGAATCGTCGAATGGGCAATAGCACTGCACATGCACATTGCTTTAACCGATCATCTTACCCAAGCTACCCATTTCCAAAACCAGTTTCAACACTAGCCAAGGCTTCGTTCTACGAACAACGCAGGAAACTAGAGAAAGGCATTTTCATCACATCAAACGTGCGCCGAGAAGCGGGATTACGCAGTTGCGTTTTTCAAGGAAAAGCGTGACAAGGATACAGGGCATTTTGGACTAACATGGTGGAGCAAGGGCATGAACCCAAACATTTGGTGTAGCCCCTCTTCTGTGGCGCATGGAAAGTGGCCACGAACAGGGTTGGAGCAATTCTGCTGCGCCAGTGAACATTCAGCGGCTTGACTCTGAGAGCCATGCAGCGTGGAGTACTAATTCTACACGCCTGTAATAATTCTCCCACGAAAGAAAGCTGACAGGCGTGTAACAGTGAATATACTGGAGGTGATAGGCTAGTGGGGGACTGCCTAGTAACTGTCACATTCAACCGCTCTGAAACGCTTATAGCCATGCATGCAGGACGTATCAGACTGCCCGCTCCACTCAGGATGCCTGAAGGTGATGTTGATGGAACGCCAGCAGTATATTGACTTAAGAGCGATTGAGATTCCCCTCGATGTCTCGTTTAGCAGTAACGCTGCAGATCAAACCTGCAGAAGCGTTCGATGCCAACATGTGATGGTTGCAGCGTTTCTAACAACGTTCGTACCACGTGGACTGTATGCCGGCTATCGGAACGAATACTGAAAGGCGACCTGCCGAGAAGCGGCTACTGCGTGCTTTTGGCAAAATCGCTCAAATTCAGTCAGTTACAGTCAGCTGAAAAAATATGAACCCTGACAGTTTCTGTCCTGAGTGCCTGCTCAGCTCCGTACCAGTCACCTGTGCTCCTCGCGCAGTGAAATGCACTCCAACCACCGCATGCGCCCAGGCTACCTCTCACAAGGCCACCCGTGCATGCATCATTATCCCCCGTTAAAGGTATTCATGAATTCGATGAACGCGGAGGTGGCGATTCACGTGCAACACGCGTAGCGTGTGCATTTCGATGCCGTTGTTTGCTCCATCTCTTCGTCTGTTCCGAATAGGACTGACTCGCTAAGGGTGTGCTCGACTGGCTCTCGTGGGTTTCCTGCTCCGTTGCAGTTTCACCTAGACCGGCAGATGCTCGAGAGGTTGTTCCCCGCTCTAACGTAGGCAGGCTTTGGAGTTGTGGTGGATGCGGATACTCGGGAACAGACACACGCCTACGATACGTCTGTTCTGTGTCTGATGCGTCATAAGGCTTCTCGGTGGCTTCCCTCCGAGGTCGGCTAGACGCGCTCTCAGACCGCGTTTGACCGCCATGCGGGTGTCGCTGTGGGGGAACGAATATGCCTCCAGCACTGGCGACCGCGTGCTCGAGCTCATGGAGTGCGACTGCCAACGGCTGCAAACGCTTATGCTCTGGCGTCATGAAGCCGATATCAATGAGTAGCCGGGACTGTCTTAGCCTCTGGAAAAAGAAGATAAGCCTGCGACTTGCGGTCTCTCGGGCAACCTGAATTGAGCGAATATTGCAGAGCGCTTCCAAAACACGCAACTGTTGCTCCACCACCACTGCTGGCGGCTTTCCACGAAGAAGCTCCGTCAACCTGACCAATCCCTCCAGAACCGCCCCATAGTGCTTTAGCGCACCCGTAGATATTGCCAAGTTTGCCTCGATTTGCTGTATGGCTTTTCCTCTTGGCAAAGACACGGGGGTCCCCCATGTGCCTTGGATATCTCTGATAAGTTGAGCAAACATCGTAAGTTGTACAATGAACGTGGTGCTTTGCACCCCGATACTCTTGCTGTACAAAAGAAGCTTTAAAGCAAGGTCTTGAAGGGCATTTCCCAACTGATCCCTATGAACCTTCATGTCGCTTGAAACACGCGCAAGTGCCGCCATATCCAACGTTGCTAGTCTTAGCACCAACCAAGTCAAACGCAGAGCATGATGTGCGCTTAACCTAGGCAGAAGCGAGCCGCACTTTGTTACGGCGTCTGTTAACTGACTGAAAAGGTTCACAACTCCCGCAGTAACTGCTGCTGGGAACGGCTGGCCGTCCAATCCAGCTTCTCTCCCTTCAACAGCCTGGCCTCCTCCAGCATGCTGTCCTTCCCAGTCTACTGCGGAAAAAATGCTCGAAGTAAGATGGGTCTCCAACAAACACATAGGGTCTAATGTTCGCATACAAGGGCTAGGCGGCAATAGTTGACCCAATGCAGCGTTAGTTCTACCTTCTGCAGGAGTACCTTGATTTGATGCTGCGCTGCGTTGAGACACTCCTTGTGTAGGCCCTTTCGATAGCGGCCAATTCCCTCCCCCATTAGACGGCAAGTGGGCAGCAGGGCCACCCTCAAAAAAAATTCCCATGGGGGGTTCTCCAGTCCCTTCGGCCCGCACTCCATCCGATTGCTGACCTTGAACTGAAGCAGTAAGTGCTGTTACTGGCGAAGAGCAAGGCAGAAAAGGTTGACTGGAGGCACCGTAAGCTCCACCCTCTGCAAGAGTACCTTGACTAGACGCTGCGGTGTGTTCAGCCACTGCCAGAGTAAACTCTGCCGGCCTCGCCCAGAACCCTTCCTCATAAGAAGGCAAATGCGCACCAGCATGGCCCTCACGAAAATGCTGCGTGGGATGTCCTCCTGCCGCCTCAGCAAGCCAATTATGGGATGCCTGACCTTGAACTGAAGCAGTTTCTGTTGGCCATCCTAAAAGCGGTGTTTGCTCTGCTATGTACGCCTGTAAGTGCGTACCAGAGTCGGGGTAACCAAGGAGATGCTGAGAATATTCATCAGATAGCCAAGCTGACGGCGACCTCCCTTCCTCATAAGAAGGCAAATGCGCACCAACACGGCCCTCACAAAAATGTTGCGTGGGATGTCCTCCTGCCCCTCCAGCATGCCAATTATGGGATGCCTGAACTTGAACTGAAGCAGTTTCTGTTGGCCATCTTGAAAGAGGCGCTTGCTCGACTGTGTACGCCTGTAAGTGCGTATCAGAGTTGGTGAAACCAAGGGGATGCTGGGAATATTTATCAGATAGCCCAGTTTGCAATTCCCCTCCTGCCTCACGATTATCAGTTTCACTGCTCAACTGGCATGGTCTATCGTCCCCTCCTGCCAACGACCTGCCGGTCTTCTTCAACCAACGCCTAGAATATCTGTCTTGAAAACAAAGAAGCAGCAAGTGCGCAACCGCCAGGAAGGTCAATACCAGAACTGGAAAGGTGCTGGAGCAACGCTGTTGCAGCCTCGAACTGGATGCTCCCCTAGAAGGAGCATGTTCTTCATAGCTGGGATACGTTAGTGTTTCACGTTCTGAGGCAGCCTCACCATCTAACCTCTTGAAAAAAGGCGGACCTTCTTCGTGGAGAAGGTCCGCGGTGCGGTCCATTGAGCAGGAACTGCGTAAAAGGGGCATCAAGAATACGCCCTGGTAGACATGGACAAGTTAACATTGCCTACTATTAGGGCACAGAAAATGCCTCAAACCAGACTGCAGTGAATAGCATTACATTTTCAACTCGCCGAAGCTATAGTGTCTTGTGCTGCACATCGCGGTCTAGTGCTCGGGTGGTTCTGGTTATTGGGAGCTTACTGGGGCTGCCGGAGACGCGAGGGTATGTTTCTCAATCTACACTGAAAGTGAAGGGGGAAAACAAATTATTACAGATGTCATCAGCGGAAGGACGAGTGTCTTCTGTCCACCGCCACAGAATTGCCACCCGTTGAGCGGTGTCTTAGTCGGGAGCACCGTCGGCGTAGGTGGTACGCCCTCGGTTTGCATATTTCACTCGGTCAAGCCTAAACTCTTTGGAGCTAAGATGAATGCAACGTGTTATGAAAACCTAATCATTCACAACACTGGGTGTACCCGGACTACTGCTGCAGGTTAGTCGGTGGTACGGTCGTAAGTCCCATCATGTGTTTGGGCATGCACTGTATCGAGGATGAGAACTAATTCACCTTCGACCTGGCGGTGGGCTCCCGCTGATAACAACGGATCTCATACCACCTGGAAGTCTCTGGCGGATTCGGAGTGCAGGCTGCTCGACCATGCGTACCAGGAGTCGTGGGATCGCCTCGAACTTGACATAGACGGGAGACCTCATGTCATCGATCCATTTTCTTCAAATGCTCACATTCATGTCGCAGTGCCTCTGGGGAACGAAGGGGGACCTGGGGCCCTTCTCGCCAGAGCCATGAGCGTTTCCATTGAGGGGCAGCGTTGCACACTTCCTGCGCACGGGTTGAGAAGCGACAGACCTTCTCGCTGGTTTCCAGTTTCGTTACGGGAGGACGCTGAAAGTGAACAAAAGATACTTCGGCAACCTAGTCTGCAACAAAACTACATTGGTAGCCCTTGCGAGTCCTCAGCCGACGCTGCTGGAGTTCGGCATACATCAAGGCGCACCATCTCCGTTGTAGGATGCCCTTCTAGACCTTTTCGCTCTCAAGAGTCACCGGCTGCTGACTTTGAAGTGCATGAAGATTCTATGTGCACCATTCCGATGCTGGCTTGGAGAGGCCCTTGCGTGTGCGGTGTCAACGCCATAACGGCGTCGCGCTGTTTCTTGCGTGCGTGCCTCTCCTGTAGAGCTCTACGGACTCCGATGGCTTCCAGCTAGTCCGCCGAGGGCGTCGGGAGCGTCTACTTACGAGTGTGTATTCCCATTTTGCACGAATGCATGCGATTTGCGTAGGGTCGTGTTTCGGTGTCGCCTCCGTATCGCTAGCCTTTTTGGAGCAACTTCACTTTAACCTTCTCCCCTGTGGAAAGAAACGTTGGTAGGCGTGTGTGCGTGTGAAGGCGAGTGCTACGTTCATCAGGCCAGACGACATTGCCGACTAGGAGGTCTGCTAATTCGAGCCATATTGCGAAGTGGCGCGCATTTCCGAAGGTCGACTTGGAGGTAGGCAGTCCAAGTAAAGCAACTGTATGGCAATTTTCCAGCCTAGCGGCATCACCAAAATGCCGTGGAATGTGGGCACACGCTAACATTGCCGAAAGTACTATGCAAATATCTATTTTAATCATACGCGTGACCTCTGTGGGTCGTGTTGTTCTTTTGCGAGTGGGCCGCCTGGAGCCAAGCAGAGTGCTGCCTCGTTCACGTGGGCTAAAAGGCGCTTGCGCAGTGGTGATTCAGGCCTGTGACAACTACCACGTAGTTCGTCAGGTGCTCGTCGACGGAGTTGACGTAGCATTACACCATGGTGGGAGGCGAAGGTTGTCGCCTGCTGGAATTGCCATTGCAGTGGCGCACTTTGCGGAGCTTTCTTTTCCTGTTAGGGTGAGGTAGCAGTGAGGCGGCTGTTGATTGATAGGAGTAGCTGGCCGTCCCTGAAGTCTACGATGGCCTCACCCTGCATTGCGGGCACGCCGTGTGTGTCTGCGTCGTGGGGCATTGTCACTGGCATTATGCTTTAGCCAAAGTGAAACAGAGAACAAGAAGCGTTTTGCTGGAGGCCATTGATTTGCTTTGCTTCCGCAAGGAATGCAGGCCTCGCACTCCCACTGCAGCGTGCTCTCGCATTGTTTCTATACAGGTGGTGGTCCCGCAGTGGGTCGCGCTCATGCACGAGCAGCATTGTAACCTATTCACTGAATCGCCAGAAGCATTGTTGAAGGTGGGACATTGGCCCAGCCGAGCACGTCGAACCACAAGCATGACATTGCCGATTATAGGCGGACAGTGGTGATTTCAGATAAGCGGGGCGTGTCTGCTTGTATCATAAGCAGGCTCTAAAGGAGGACGACTTGCTTGTAGTTTTGCCTGACCCTGGCGAGCCCATTTGGTCTCCTAGAATATCAAGGCTCAAAGCAGAAAGCGGTGGGGAGTGACATATTCGATTCTTTGCTCATTTGGATTGCTTGGCCTCTGGCCGTTTGCCAGGGAGCAAAAACTGTTTGCTTAACATTTTGTGAATGCAGATGCTGAGTGCACGGTTGAGCTTTGCAAAACCTTCAACGCCGCCTATTGCTCCAATGATTTCAACCAGTTTTTGCAGCTCTTGGTAGGTGCCGGCTAATGCCCCCCAGATCCACCAGTTTTTGCCAGAAAGATTTTCTGCAACTTCCGAGAAATTGTTTCTGTGCAGGATGGCTCTCCTTCACGTTATAATGACTATTTATACATGTCGGCTAGGTCATGCCTATTCGCGTTCGACGGCGACAACTTTTACCACATTTTGGATTCACTGGGTGAGCTTGAAAGCATCATATTTAAATTATCATATTGATGTTTCATTACTGTTCTCGTGCGGCAAACCAGATCAACCGCACACAATAAGCCCACCCGATAAGTAATGCCGATACTGCGGTGTGCGGCTCTGTGGAATATCTTGGATAATCTGCTTTCCATTTCTCTGCGGTCTGCCATATCCTTACACTAGGTCGAGGGAAGTTTGTCGACAAGCTTTTCTTCCGAAACAAGACAACGTAGATAGACCCAGCGGAATGTTGACTTCATCATCATTCTCCCTGTTCATTGGTAGGTGCGATGTATACATGCGGGCAACAAGGCCGCCTCGATGGCTTGCCCACTGACCAGCTGGAACTGTGCTGCCGTCTATGAAATGTATAATCGCATAAAAGGGTGCTAAGGAACAGTATGCATTGAATTGGCTAGGTTTTTCCCCATCAGAATGCTCAGCACGGTTAGCAGAAGGGTGGCAACTGCATTTGGCCTCCAAAAAAAACGCAGTAGCCATATCTAGCAACGCCGTGAATCACGTAGCGAAAGGTAATTGAACAACTGACGACCTGGAAGAAATTGGTTCTCGGTCTGTGGGAAAATGAAGATATATATAACCACTTTGCTATTGATGCAAGTATCTAAATTGTTGACACTCTCATTGCCATGCTACACTGCCGTAAAGATACCCGCCTTGCTACCAGATACTGAGTTTTCGAACCCAGCAGAGGACCGTCGTAAGCTACAATAAAGTCAAAGTAGTTCGGGTAGAGGACTCCCAAAAATTAGCTGACCCTCCATCTAGTGTTCAGGCTTCCTGGGTGCAGCGGCCCAAGGGCCTGGAGTAGTGTGCTGGTACATTTCTCCTTGCAAGCAGGCTGGTTGTGAGCAGGGCTGGCTACTGAAGGCCAAGCTAGCAGTTAACGATTGTCAAGAATGTTAGAGCATTCACCAGGGGAGGCTTGGTTGTGCTACCATGCGGGGGGTGGCTTGCAACACTAGTGGGAGTAGGGTGCACTTGAGTTGCAGCTCGTAACAGGTAGCTTCCCGCATTAGGCTCGAACATTTGGAACGCCGTTCCCAGGACTCCTTGGAACTGGCAGGTATGTCAGGTATTTATCAAGAGCTCTATATTTCAAGATCGAAAACCCTCACTGTGCTGGGTTGCTAGAGTTTTGTCAGGGTCTGGCCTCCAATGGGGGAGCGATTAGAGGCTGAGCGCATTTTCGCATTGGAACGAATGGAGTATCGTCACTTAATTCATCAGAAAATGTCCCTACAGCGAAGACAATTCGTGACGAGTGCCTCCGCCTTCTCCGAGCGCCCTGATATGACGGGAGCCCCGATGCGGGAGCATTGAAGAAGTTCTTTGCTGCTCTGGAATTGTACCGTCACCCAGAAAATCCGCACGAAGGGATACAGTTGTAATTGAGACTTTTATATTTCGAAATGGGGGCAAAACAACCGTGGTTATATGTAAGCAAGTGTACTAATTTTCTGGAGCACATCGGCACTGTGCAATTTCTCCCAAGTGCGCAGCGTTGTAAGCTTATTCCAGGTTGGCAAGGCATCTGCTTTGGCAGAATTAAGAAAACAAAATCAGGGGAAGCTATAGATGGAGCTCTACATAAAGGAATACCAATCCTTGTTGAACAGAGGTCCAATGGTGGACTTGGATATTCTATATAAATGGTTTATGACAAGGCTGTTCCCCAGAGAAAACAACGGCCAACCGGCTGCGCAGCTGAGAGCAACTCGTACACTGCGCGCATGCAGACCCTTCTGCACACTGAGTAAACACTAAAGGCTAGTTGATTCTTGCCTTCTTCTCATACTCTCAGTGTCCGTTGGGTGGCTGCCCTCTAAAGTTCTGTTTTATTTTTGCAACAGTTAGTTGCTTCTGGATTCTTCTTCCATTGTGTTAAGCCGCCGAGAACGCGGTATGCCCCTGGGCTTAACACGCCGAATAACAAACATGTTTGAGTATTACTTGTTCAAAACACTCTAGAAGAAAAGGAGGCTGGGGAGTTGAGGAAGTGAACAGGTGCAGGTAATGTGTTGTGGCGCTGGAGGCTGTTGGGGGCTTCTATGCTTGACGGCTGTGACAGTCTAATGAGAAGAAATTGTATTTTGTTTCTTAAAAAGCCTTTATGCTGTGTTTGTTTCTTATTATTCCCATAACAGACAGATTATTCAACTTCTTCTTGTTTACTCTGCCTGTGGTCTACGAACACGCTACGTGGGCCAGGTGACGGACGACGCCCTCGACCGCCCTACAGCCGACTGCAGCCAGCATGCGGCGGTAAACGTGGATATTTTCTCTTTTTCAGCATTAAACTACCTTGTTAATTTCGTTTTTTATTGAAAGGGCTGCTAAACTAAACGACAAAACTGCGGAAGGGGGCGGGGGCCCACGAACGCCCGACCCTCTGCCGCGCGGCTTCCTCTCAGGCTTACCGCTTCCTCGACGTTCCATGTACACTGATTTTGCTGAATTGTGCATTATCTGAGGTGTATGAACACCTCACGAGGTGCATGGAGACCTCCGAATCCTCCACGCTCTTCCCCTGTGCCTGCTGACCACCAGTTCTTTTGTACGAGTTGTGTGTGCAGCATAACCCGCAGCATAGCATTTGAAACCGCTTCCGCCGCAGGGGTTTTCGCTAGATATGAGAAACTCCGTTGGGTTTCTTTGCTTTAGGCCGATAATAACAGGCGTTCATATACCTCAGATGCATGAAAAATATACGTACATTATCACCTCGGTATATATAGCTCAGCACTTGCCAATAGCTTTCTGCGTTCCTTTTACTTTGTTCTCTCGTTTCCAGCGGTAGATATCGCAATGGCGGCGCGGCAGGTGGTGTTCGAGTGTCACTGCAGCTCCACTGTACCGGGTCAGTGGGTGGCTGTTGTAGGTTCTTCTCCTCAGTTGGGTTGTTGGGATGTGCGTCGTTCTGTACGCTTGCATACGAACGCGTCTTCTTTTCCTCTCTGGTCCTCTCCTCCTGTATCGCTCTCTGTAGCAGCAGCTGCAGCTCCTGCATCTGCTGCTGCAGCAGGTTCCCCTGGAGGAGCAGCAGCTGCTGGCGGTTTTGCTGCTGCTGAAGCAGCATCTAAAGCCGACCCAGTGGAATTTAAATTCATAATTTGCGGCCCCGATGCTTCGCGAGTTTCCTGGGAGCAGCTTCAAGCTAATCGTTTGCTGCTGCCTTCGGGGCCTCGTTCGTTGCGTTACCGCGCTCGCTTTGGGGAGCCCTCAGAGGAGCTGCTGCTGCTGCAGCAGCAGCAGCAGCAAGAGACCCCACCTAAGCAGCGGGGGCAGCAGCAGGAAGCAACATGGATGGGGCGTTCTCGCGATGCATTCTCTTCTTCGCTAAAGCGGCTGTCTTCGGGGCTTGATTTATCTCCTCAGTCTACAGGCGGCACTGCAAGTCCATTGAGCGTCAGTCCAGGAGCAGCAGAGAGTTGTGCACGTCTTTTGAACCCTACTTCCACTTCTACTTCCTCAGCAGGAACAGCAGCAGCAGCAGCAGGTGCAGCAGGTTCGTTGTTAAGCCCTAGCGGAGCGCTGAGTTTTATTGTCGAGGGTAATGCGTCTGCTCCTTCTTGGGGAGCGAAGCTGGAGCTAGTAAAGAGTGTAGTGAAGAATGCAGGAGACGGCAGCAGCTTGGCGAAGGCATCAGCAGAGCAGCTGGTTGTTGCTATTGATGCTTTATGCTACGCTGGGGTGTATGCAGACCTTGTATCTCAGGGGGCTTTGCGTTGCAGTGAAGATGGGCGCCATCTTCGTCCTAATAGGCATGCAAATATATCTCGCGAGGTGTCTGTACACCTGGAGCTACTGCTGCAAGCAGTGGCTTCAAGAACAGATGATTTTGCCTCTGTACTGAGGTTAGTAGCGAGAAGAATCCTTCCTTCTTTGCCTTCTTTTGCTGCTGCTTTTCGCGCAGCACAGCCTCTAACACGCATTCGTAATATTGCACATCGCGATGATATACCAATGGAACTAAAAAATGAAATTAAACATAAAATACAGAACAAACTCCATCGGTGTGCAGGACCAGAAGATCTTGAAGCAACGCAGCAGCTGCTGCAACGCGTGCATGCAGCACGAGGCCAGTATTCTTCTGGGTTTGTATCTGAGTTAGAAACATTTTATAAGGAATTGTGTTTCTTCTTTAATCAATATGACTTGACAGAGAGGCTTAAAGAGCTGCTTCCTAGACAAACACCAAGAACAGCAGAAGCTATTGAACGCTATCTAGACGCAAAGGAGCGCAGCAATACAGCTGATGCTTCTCCAGCTAAACTTCTCCTCGCTCTTGGGCTTGCAACAAATCTTCGTTTCGTTTTCGTTCTGCAGCTAACAGAAACGGGCCACTTGCATGAGGGAGACGAACAACAAATTCAAAACCTGTATGTATACACCGCAAGATAGAGGTGCCTATACACCTCAATATATTATTATATATATAACGTATGAATACCATTTTTATATGACAAAACATGCTTTTATGGATCGCTAACTTAAACGCATGGGTAAGTGCATGCATGCATGCACTTCAATATTTTAAATGCATATTTGTTTAGTTGGGCGTAACTGCACGAGCTGGATATAAATATATATGTAATATATATATATATATATAT